GCAGCATGTTGATCAACCAAGACCAGGACCGACCGTGAGCTATGGCCATCAGCGAGCTTTGCGAGGATAAACTTTCGATCCACCTGTGCAATGATGTTGGCCGTCGCCAGGTGACTCTTGCGTAGTCGGCCTCGGAATTTTGCCAATCCCAAATCTTCCAATGCGCATGTGTCTCCCGAGCCGTCAAACGGCCGAATGAGGCCCTTATGACCCGTATTTACGTGACTTTCACGGTCGCCAATCGCGGTTATGGGTGTTTCCGGTCGACTGAACGCAGAGTTTTCCCATCTCCTCAGGAGGTTCTCGACCCAGATATTATGGCTTTTGCTTGAGATTGCCGACCTTGGCCTTGACCTATCGAGCGCCCGCAGTGTCTGAAGTGTTCCGGCAGATCGGGGGCGCTCGTCGACTGTAAATGCAGTAGATGGTGATCTAACGTTGATTGCTTGGCCCGTTCTTGCATTGATCAAATGAGTACGTCCGGTATGGGGGTCAGTCCACGGTATCGACGCATCGACATCCGGCCCGTCATTTTCAGTAATTTGCAGGTTGTTACCGGCCGACGAATCATCCGTCTCTAGACAAATTGACGGTTCTCTATCGTGGTACACCGAAGCGGGCCTTGAATGCGCTTTCTTCCACCCATCGGCCAATTCATGCTTACCGGCAGGCGGTTCTCTCGCACATTTGACCCTAGACCACGTCGTAAAATCCGAAGTAGTGTTCATTGATGTCGGTCTGTGGAAGGTCGGCAGCTTCAACTGGCCTGCCAAGGCTTCTTCGGCAATGGACGATCTGTTGCGTGAAAACACTGATTTCGCAAGACTGGATCCGCTGGGCCCTGGCGACTCAACGATCATTGACCTCTGAGACGCACCTTTCGTTTGTCGCCCTGCACGTGGTCGTAGACCCTGTTGTTTCAAGAACTCGCTTATCATGGCCGCAAGCACATCAATAAGACGCTGGACGGACTGGTTTGACTCCGGTACCACCTCATGGTCTTCCTCGTAGAGTCCTCTAGGATCATCGACGTCTATGCGAATGTAGAACATCGGCCATTTGTTCACTGCCTTGCTTGTAAACCTTGGACCTGGGTTTCCGTCGCTGCTTACAGGGGCCGCTTCAACCGCACCAAAATCGGACAAAGCAAACAAACGGTTGATTTCACTATAGAGCAGGTCCGTGCTGTTGCGCGGGTAGACTGGATCGATCCCAATGGAGATAAACTGAACCTTCTTCGTGGGGCTAGGCACAAGGGATACAGCGGCGTGCAACGACACCCCAGGGACGCATGCTGCCACTGAGTTCCAGCTACCAGAGTTCTGCGACTCAATCAGACCGGCCTGCATAAGTATAGAAGCGATGCGTTGGATATCCAAGTCTCCCCTTGTCTCTTGACGCCCAGCGTGCGAGCGAATCGTAACCTTCCTCTCTTTTCCAGCAGTTGAGATCACCAGTTTAGCCAGATGGTCACTTGCTAACATCAAAGAAACGAGCAGTCGCCGGAGACCGTCCCACTGCCGCTCGAATTCGTCGGGTTTCTGAAGGGCTAGGGCCCGACTTTTCACGCGTACGGGCATATTGCCAAATAAGTCATTGACAGTAACACGCGTCCCATGACCGCTGAAACTCAAATGATGCGATGATGGTGCTGGCATCAAGCGTGCGATCGGAGTCGAATGATGGAAAATGACACTATTGGTGCTGTTGTGGCGGAAATGTTGTGAGGTCACCGTCAACAGTGAAAGAGAAGCCAGAGAAGCGAGGAATTGCCCTCTACAACCGTAGACGGCTCTTGCTGAATGCAATTTCGAGCTATCTGCATGAGAGGTGAGCGAGAAGACAGCTAACAGGAGCGAGGCCCACGTACGATGCGCTTTCCCCAGTCCTCCATCCGACTCAAATTCGGCCGGGGGCATCCCATCACCGTCGTCCTCAACCACACATCCCCCGCGGTGAAAATCAACCGTTACGGAGACCGTATGTGCATTTGCATCCAGCGCATTCTTGACGAGTTCCACAACCACTCTATTTAGATCGGTAATGGAAGTTGAAGATTTAATCTTTGCCACAACCTCCGGCGGGAGTGGCTCCATTCTGCTATCCTCTGAAGACATGACAGAAGCAAGAGAAATTTCAGTCGATGTTTTCATGCGAGACAGGCTGTCTTCACATGATTATAGCATTGAATGGCCCTTGCCCAATCTTGAGCAGTAGTTGCCAGTGTGCCACTCTGGTGGCATATGAAACCCCGTTGGACTATGATGTAGCATCGGATCCAGAGTAAAGACAGCAACAGCGCCAAATATTCAGCTTCATGAATCAGGAGCAGCAGATCAGGGTCGTTTCCATGCTTGTTGTCCATGTCTGGAACAGTTGTCAAGAGGGAAACAGCTGCTGCAGTGGACGATACGTGTCACGTGATAGATTACGTGTTATGCCTGGGGGGTATGCTGTCTGGTGTGCTGAACCGGGTTACAGTTCAGCAAAGGTTTCGGAAAAGTTCGACAAGGTCTTAGAATATCTAGGGTAAGTTGAGAGAGCTTGGTGAGGTCTTAAGCTACTACCTAGAATTGCTAGCAAGATGGAAGGCCTCCGCAAGTCTTAACTATACCATTCATCAACTATCAAATTTACCCCCCACGCCCCCCTTAGGGTCGTTAGGATGATTAGGGTACGTAGTGAGTAGGGTAGGTATGGGCTAGAAATATAGAATCTCCTTTTTAGGGTGGTTAGGGGGTGCTTTTTAGTGATATTACGTAGAAGTTGAGCCTCGTTGAGGAGCTCATCAAGTCTTAGATTCTATGTGGATCACATAAAATGTAAGACCTTGTTGAACTTTCTCTTGGTGACAATATTCAGACCTTGCGGAACTTTTCCCGAGACCTTGCTGAACTGCATGCTCGTCCTGGCCTATCTATCATCTATCTCAAGACCTAAGCGCCAGGGGAGGGGATAGTCAACACCTGCCTATATAGTGTCCTAATTTCTCCATAATGCGATTAATGCCACTAAACATGAAAATATTGTCTTCTATTTGTTTCTTTGTAAGCACGGTTATTAGAGATCTCTTTTCGTTCTCTATATAAGGCGCTCGTTTACCTATATGTATTCTCAAGGATGGGGCAAGCAAGTCGACGTCAGAGCATTCCTCATTTTCCAACGTATCCAGCGTTCCTACAACACTTTCGTGGTGCTTTCTGTACTTGTCAGCGGGCTTGCCGTTTCTGCCTTGACCTTTCCCGAATTTCATCCGACAGACAGCGGATTGTTACGGACTTCTGAAGGCCTTTTGTGCAGCTCGGCCATTACAGCTGTAATCTCTGCTGTTGTCACCACTATGCTACTTTTTCAGTTCGAGGGACTGGAAACAGCCACTCAAAGGGATTTAGCTGTTGCCTGGGGGCCCTTGGTACTCCTGGACCTCTCAATCGTCGAATTCCTTCTTGGGATGGTCTGCTGGTACCGGGGGAAGAGTGGTTATTGGAGAGGGACTCTGATGGCGACACAGTTTGCTTTCTTGCTGGCCATTTGTTTGACTCTTTCGATATGGATGTGGTTTTACATGAGCAAGAGATGGGGGCTGGGAAAAGAAGAAGCTCAAGCTGCCGCTACCCACGCACGCGTTGCGGATAAGTAGGGTCTTGCATCGTCACCTCAGATGGCTCGCAGCTTCCTCGGCAACCTGACGAGGATGTCCGCGCAAGCCGAATCGCTGCATTATTGGGCCACTGCTTCCACGGCTGTAGTGGCTTTGCGAGGAAGTCCAAAGGAGTGTCATCGAAGAGACTCCGAAGCAATCTTTCCACAGCTGCTTAAAGTTTCAGCAATTGTATCATGCGTCAAATAAAGCTATGGGTACTATACACCAACAGCCCACAGCTTATGTAGCCAAAAATGGGTACATCATGATCAAAGTAGCAACAGAAGGGAAAATAGCTCAAGAGGGTAGTTGTGAATGGAAGAGTAGTTTGTCGCAGTGCACTGAGGGCCTAAACAACAGCCGTCCCACGTGATTGGCAGGACCTTTTCAATAGCTACCTAGGTACTGGGACTGGAATACCAAGGCACCAGCTCAAACAAATCCATACCCAGAGACATATTATGGGCTACCAGTAATCATGTCCCAGTTAAATGGAACTAGCTGATTCACCCTGACGATCTTAACGCAAGTACACAATGTCTACCGTTCTTGGGCCGGGGTCCACGAGCATAGTGGACTCAGGGGCTTAGTGTTGTTGATGACTAAGTGCACTCGCGGGGACGCGCGAATCTGATTCAGGTGCTTGGCACTACAAGCATTCATTCTTTTTCACGGACAGAGGGCGAAGCAGCTTGATCCTTGTACCATCGAGATGGGAGACACCCCAAAGCAGAGCGTCGCTGTCATTGGCTCTGGGATGGCCGGCCTGGTGGCGGCCTTCCTGGTTCAAGGTGACACAAAATCCAGGTACAAGGTGGAAGTTTTCGAAAAGGTAAACGAGCACAATTGGCCCCTTTATACGAACGTCATTAAATCATAATAGCAAGACCAACTGTCCTTAGATTCTGCGTCGTACACCCTAGGGACAGCCGCCGATGATGGCGACTCTCCATCTTACCGTGTCGACATACCAATGCGCGCATTCGATAATAACTATCACATCAACCTGAAGCGCATGTACGACTACCTTGGTATTGATTATGTGTCGCCAAAGTTCCTTTATTCGCTGTCGCGTTTTTCTCAGTCCACCGGGAAAAGGGAACGTCCTTATTTTATCCACTCATCCAGCAATCACAGAGTGCCCCCAATCCGCCCTAGTTCCAGGAGTCTCGTGGGATGGATTGGGGAAACATTATATTTGACGATTTGCTATTTTTGGTTCACAGTGTGCTGCTTTCTAATCAGACCGAGAGGAACAACTAGGTCCAGTGAGGAAGAATCGCTTCAGCGGTATCTTGAGCGAATACAATTGCCACGGTACTTCTCCAGGAGTTATCTATTGCCATTACTGTCGAGCATGACCACCTGCTCACATAACGAGCTTCTTAACTTTCCTGCTGTTGATGTCGTGGACTACGCGAAGAGGACATACCGGCAGCCGCATTACACTGTTGTGGGAGGCGTCCAGAGGGTTCAATCAAGGATATCTGAAGGGCTAGTTGTTAGGCTCAGGTCCACAGTCACCGCAGTCGAGTCAACCGGGACAAGGTGTCGGATCACATGGACCGATTCGCAGGGTGACATTGTGTCGGAAGAATATGATCACGTCATCATGGCAGTCACTCCCGATGTTGTCAGCACTATATTCCAGCCTCTGGAGAAGCCTCTTCAGTCGATCCCCGTTGTTAAAGGGGAGTGCATTGTTCATCGCGATACATCCATCGTTCCTGACGGTGGCTTGCTAGCTGCCGAAGCTCAGAAAGCACGCAAGCAGCCCGAGATTATGTACATGTTCTCCGATGGCACATCGACTGAATCCGTCCACCAGCATCCTTTGTCTGTCTTAGTAACGAATTTTCCAATCGCACCCATCGAATCGAGTAAGATAATTTATCGCACACAGTTGACCCGGGTCTTGCGGACCACAGAGAGTAGGAAAGTGGTGAACAGCATATTTTCCGACGGCCGGTCTCAACAGACGCGACAAGAGAAGGAGCAAATATGGCGCAATGGGAATGGAAACGTCTGGCTTGTTGGCGCATGGTGCTGGGACGGAATGGTGCTCCTTGAAGGATGTGTCATGTCTGCAATGAGAGTTGCAGCGTGTCTGGATGTCGATATACCGTGGTCGAATGATGAGTGATGCCTCACGACTCCTTTTCTTGGCGACTGCTTTCCACAAGCATGATCGATGGCGTCAAATATCGTACAATCAGCATAACCACTTGTTGTATATAATGCCGCATATTTGCATGTCATGTCTTATTCAGCGCCCGGGTTCTCTGATCTTCGTGCCACAATAATAACTCCTCTGACTACTCCAGTCTGAGCCCACCAGTCGAAAGCCTTTGCTGCCCCCTTGAACCTGCCTATGGTCATCCCGTACTTGCTCAACTCGGCGTCTTGTTTCCTCAGAAAATTGGCTATACCAGGAAAGACATGTTCCGAAATATCCCGCATTTCGATCAGGTTGCTCTCATACCCGGCCTGCGTCAAATTCCTCTGATACCCTTTCTTTGTGACAAAGTTTCCATATGGAATCCCAGCCACGAGGCACATCAAGCGCAAGACAAACCTCTCCCAAGGCGTGGCTTGATCTGAAAGCAGGAGATCAAATGCCATTATAGAGGCTTGCATATCTTGGTACGCACATTTGAACAACCGGTCACGAGAGGGTTGAAAGTGATACAATGTATCAAGCGCTAATAGCCATGTTTGAGTCTTAATCGTGCACTCTTCGATCGCCTCGCCCTTTACGCTCGGTCTGAAAACAGCGCGCTTAAGGCTCAATTCCCATGAAGAAGGGTCGGCTGCGTTGGCAGCAAAGATCTTCACATCTGTTGTTTCCTGAGAAGTCCGTTCGAGGTCCGCGATAGATCGGACCTGCAAAAGTCGATCTCTGGCAAAATCTGCTTGAGACTTTACTACCGTGAGACCAACATACGAGTCGAAGAGTGGCCGGACAGACTGAGCTTCTTGCATGCCACCTGCAGAAGCAGTGGGAATGTCAGTCGTCCTAAACAGTTGCCTGGTTAGGTAGAGAGACTGGTCGCCACAACCCATTCCGACATCAACCAATTTTATTTCATGCAGAAATGATCCTGATTTGGAACCATTGCCTGCACCGAACCTGATTGGTGTGCTATCTTCATTCAAAAGCTTTGCTGTGATCAGGACTTGCTCTAATAAGGCTTCGCAGGCTTCGGGAAAAGAACCTGTGTGCTAAGTCTTCGTCAATCTCGTCTCTTCATGCAATCGCGTACAGGCCCACGGAACAGTTAGGCTGGAAAGAACAACTTGCCGTAGTGACAATGTTCCTAATGTACCTTCCAATATCCCATATTCATCCACATTCCCTTAGCTGGAGGGACATCCACACTTAGGATAGCATGGTCTAACCCATACAATTCCTTTCCGTCGAGTAAGTCAATGACACGCGCTGCGATATTCACTATGATCTTTAAGGGGAAAACAAGTCCCTTGATGAACAAACTAATGAGATTGCCCATCGTAGGTTCGGGAAGCTAAGGCCACTTGATATGAATCACTGGTGGCTTATTCTGTTTTCCTTCCCACACAGAGTGTGATATAGGACACTTGACGATGGGGAGAAGAGTAACAATACACCCAGGATCCCCTGTCCTAAAATATCATATAATCCAGGTGGACTTGGCGCAGATTGTGGGCCACCTCTCGTGCTTTTCCTGCTATTTCTCTAGGACCCTCAGGAACGGGCTACCGGACAAAAATGAAAGTTCTGTCAATTGTTAAAAAGCTATCTTCACTCACATCTCAGCTCAAATACAGCCATTTCGAGTCAGCATGAGGTGGGAGAAGCGGCAGGGCAGGTTGGTTTGGGCCCGAGGCAGCAATCACGTGCTGGCAATCATCCCCCTTGGGACTCCTGACGGTGTTGTAGACGCAGCCAGCATTTACCCAGCCGTCATATTCTCTCACTCCCTTGGTTTAATCCGACTTCTTTCATACCTCCTCCTCTTTCTTCTTTCTCTTCTACAGTATTGAAGATTATTCTCGGTCAGTTGGAAATCTGACAAGCTGTGATCCCATACTTCAGCGTCCACCTATGTTTCGGTGATTTGCGGCTTATCTGATTTGCCCGATTCGTCCCTCTGTTACCTAACTTACCTGTATTACGACCTCCTTCACTCGACATTGATTGGCAACACCGATTATCTGGAAATCCTCAACTCTAATCATTCCCCGTGCGATTACTTGCAGATTGTTAAGCGGCCAGGATGGCCACAGCTGAGGTGCCTACGCGGACTCATGGTTCGTCTTCGCAAGCATTCTGCCCCTCATGAGACAACCCCAAATTGACAGATGATAGTTCGCAGCGGACGCCGCCACCCGTTCTCTAGCTGGATGAAGAGACTTGCCAGTCTGAAGGGCTCCTCGACGGATTCCAGCACAATTCGCTGGTCCCATAAACGCCATGACTCTCACAAGAGCAAGAGAAACAACACCAAGAACAACCCTTACCCGCTCTCCGGTACTACGAACGTTGCCGGTGAATACAGCAGCGATTTCATCTCTTCGGTCTCGGATACAAATGCTGCCAATGGGCCACGATCGTGCTCATATAGTGAACCTTCCATTGCCTGTTCCGGATACGACAACCAGGTGCCTGCGACAAGTGCAAAGTCGACGGCCCCGACCATCTCAACGAACGGTGACACGGCCATCTCCGAGGCAGCATACTCCAAGGCAGGAACGATGGCTACAGCAGGAGGAGGGATCAGCTCTCGCGGCGGAGGCGAAGGAAGTACCTTCTCTTCGCCCGCGCCGTCGGTCCGTTCGTTGACCACTACCCTAACTACCGTGCAGTCCGCCGCGCCGTCCACTCACTTCTACAACGTGCAAAGTACACATCAAGGCCTAGCGCATGCGAACTCGACGCACAGCACAGCGAATCAACAAGTACAATTTTCCCAGCCATTTCCTTCCTCCCCTGCGACCGCGGTGCCACCCCATCTTGTCCCTCACGGCCAGTCTCATACCTACAGCACTGCGACTGCCAACAATATTCTCACTGACAACGCATCCATCCTCACTCTGGCTTCATCTTCAAAACGTCGCCGCAGGAACTCGCTGGATACAAACGCATCGGTCCGCGCTCTGGCGCCGTCCTCGGTATTTGGTGGTAGTCGCGAGAGTCTGCCTCTGAGCGTGCTCAGTGCGAATGTTGGAGAGCCATCCAACACGTCCACGTTCAATACACCCGGAGTACTCAACCGTCCCAGCATGGTGGGCCTCGCTAGCGCTGAGCGGATCAGTGTATACTCAGCGTCCGGTGCGAACGCGAGCGGCGAGCGAGGGAGCTACCATAACAAACCGAATCCAGGCACGGGAGATGGTGCAAGTGTGAAGAGCGCAGCGTATTCGCACAGTCGCAACGACAGTTATGCGGCGAGCATCTCGGGCGGGATGGGTGTCGCGATCGCCAGCGGGTCCGTCAGTCAGCCCATGACGGGGAGGGTCAGTCGTCGCAGCTCGGGATGGGGTGAGATAACCGGTGATGAAGGCGACCAGGAGAAAGAAGACAAGGAAGAGCGGCCAGCAGAGTTGAAGGAGGAGGATTTCTTTGATGCAATGCCTGAAGGGACGACTGAAACGACAACGACCGCGACGACAAAGAATTGATGACACCGAACATGGTATGACTTTATACACAGGAGAGTCTGCCGTGAGCTACGCAACGAAGTTACGCAAGATAACTGCATGACAGAGTGGGTTAGAATATTATCAACAGTTTCCTGCTTTTTTTTTTTTTTTTTTTTTTCTTTTTCCGCGTGCGAGGAAAGGATGGAGGTCTGTCTGCTTGGGATGGGAGTCAACATGACATGGGAGTTTGGGTTGGTTGCTGGCTATTTCTGCCTTGGTATACCTCGATTGATAGATGCATTGACAATATTGATATCCCGCTGGTATTGTTTAGTATAATCAACAGCATTCATTATTTCTAGTTGACCCTTGACGGCATATGTATACCCACAGTTCAAGCTTAGTAGTGGAATGCGTATACCGCTGTCAACCTCAATATGTTAACAATGTTCACAATCATAATAGTAGAATGCCAGGAGAAAAGTCAAAAGTACAACAGCATGGCGAAGGAAGAAAGCTTCAACTACTAATACAGATGATAATCACTCTCTTGACAAGTGACAACACTTAATTGGGCCCTAAACAGTGGCTGAGATGCCTAAGACTCAAGATTTAGAGACAGCAGTAGGTGAGTTACACCTTAATCCAGTCTACTCAGAAGCTAGTCTAGCACGCAGAGCAGCACATGGCTTTTTCTCTCCAGAGTTTCTTACCATGCGTGATCAATCATATTATCATTCATCCTTATTCCATGATTAATTGATTATTCTATTCCTGAGCTAGACTAGGTCGTCAACTGCATACGTCAATGCCCTGCATGAGCTGCTTAGCCTCGATCCGTCAAAAGACTCTGCAGTGCACACTGCACACTACAGTGACTCGACTATTCAACTGTGTATAAAAATTTTATCCATATCAATTGAGATGAATTAAGTGAAATGAATTGCGTTCTAAATGAATCCCTCCAATGGGGCTCGCTGATAAACAGACACATTAACGTATCGTCAATCATAAGACTCGCTCATCCACCCTTGGCTCCGTGAGACGCCTTCCTCATTGCCTCCAGATAATGACCAACCAGATACTGGTTCAATAATATAAACAAAGAAGCTGTAATAAAATAACGGTAACTAATATATTCGATACTTTCACCTTTTTTTTTTTTTCTTTTTTTCTTTTTCATTTTTCGGTTTAGCTCTGTTCACGCAGTGCCGACACCGATCTTGGACTCGGAACTACTCCGTTCAGCGTCGACCTTCTGAGAGGAGAGGAATTTCTTGAACATGTTGGCAATGTCGGTCTCGGATTTCTTGGTCTCCTCCGCCGACTTGCCGTTCTTCTCAGTGATCAGGTTCTTGAGCCATTGATTCTCCAGCTCTAGCGCGGTCACGCGGGCTTCAAGAGCGGCATTCTTCTCGTTGGTCTCCTTGACGGTCTTTTCCAACGCTTGTTCCCGGAGCTTCTTCTTGACACGGAATCGCGCGCTAGCAGCCGTGTTGCGGCGACGCTTGTCCTCCTCTGCGGCAATGCGGGCAGCCTCCTCCACACTGATAGGGGCCGCCTTTTGCGTGTTCTTGCGCTTGGGTCCCGCCGCAGTCGTTGCAGAGGCAGCTGGAGCAGCTGGAGCAGCTACTGGGCTGGTAGCTGGACCAGAAGGCGATGTTGCAGACGAACTAGACTGACTTGGGCTTGGGTTGGCGTTGAAGGGTGCACTTGAAAGCCCCGAAGGGATTGATGGGATCTTTGAAAATTGCGTATTTTGAATCGGAACCTGAGAGCTGATCGAGTTCAAGTTGGCTGCCGAAAAATCGGGCGTGTTGGTGAAACCATCTATGGAGTTGAGATTAGCCTCAGACCATAACTAATCAGAAATACAGCGCTCCAAAAGCCAAGCTGGACGACACAAGTGTAGGAAATCATTGCAAGATAAAATAACATGCTGAAGCAATTGAAATTGAGGAAAGCGGCCTGCTACACTCATACCAGATGAAGTGCAACGAGGATAGCGACGAGAGCGGTCACGTGATATCGCGCCATACTCGACCCCGTTCACGACAACGCTAAATTGCAAATTTGATGCAGGAAGCACATAACCCTTTTTGAGATAGCCGCGCAAAGACAGGGGAAAAAGGTTCATGCAGACAGGGGTGGATTTAGGTGCTTTGCTCAACCAATGATGGCCCGTGCATCGGATTTCGCGAACCGCAACCATGTGCCCCCAATGATCCAAAAGGACGATGCAAGATATCACGAGTTGCATGGGAGAATGAGGGGTTTTCACTCACCTCCTAGAAGATCCAGAAACTCCATATCGGAATTGTGGGTGGTATGTCCTCCATTCTGATGTTCCGTTGTCTTCGCACTGTCTTCCTTGACGGCATCAAACGGAGGCAGGTTGAGATCCCCGAGATTGTCGAAATCGAAGAATTCGGTATTTGTGAACAACGAGAGTTCAGCATCGAGACTGAAAGTATCTTGTCTCTGTTGCTGCTGCAAAGCCTGGTCGTACGGCGAGGGAATGGCATTCAAATCCTCGATGTATTGGGAGAAGTTGGGCGCACGTCGGCCGTTGTAACCGGACATGATGTATGAGTGAGGCTAAGCCTCTATCAAGTTCTCGAGATAAATCGAGTAGCTGTCTTCCTTTGCGTTTCGTTCAGATGATGCCTTGTGAGAGTGACAAATGCGTCAAAGACGCACGGTCGTAGCACTTGTCAGATGTGCTCGAATAATCACGTCGAGGTCGAATTGACTATGGAAGAGGGTCCGGAGATGAAAGAGTAGAAGAGAGAGGAACGAGAAGACCAGTCAATAATGAATAATACTCACGGTGGAACGCGGGACATCGGGGAGGTGGGAGGGAATGTGCGCAGGGTGGGGTGGATGATTAATCCGGCGGAGCAAGTCAACTGGTCAAAGCGATCCGATCACAATGATTGAAAATCAAAGAAGGGTTTTCACAGGGCATTTGACAAAACCAAACGACTAATCTATTGATGCTTGATAGTGTTCTATTCATTTACATTACCCCTCTACAGCAACAATAAAGCATATTCATTTAAGATATAGGACCGAATACCTTCACTCGAATACCTTCACTCGAATACCTTCACTCGAATCCCCTTCGTCACTGACAATCAACACATTAAGGTAAAATCTTTCTTTGTCTCGCCACTGTGCGTTATTGACTATCCGTATCGAGAAAGGATTACATCGCACTTGAGTCATCTTTTTCGGTGACCGAGATCGGAGTCAACCGGATTTTAAAACGCCTCGAACCAGGCACTGTCCAATCTCGGGACCCATTATTTCACGATGAAGTATCACAACTCCTCAATAATCACAAGGAAACGGGCTCCGCACATTAATAATCAGCCGGCCTTATCTCGTCTTCCTTTCCCTTGTCCAAAGCCTTGAGCTGACTACAGTAGTGAATGTGATTCCTCAGACGACTGTTTGGGTTTAGCTTTTTTGTCCATGACGCGGTTTGCGCATGAATCTCAGTTGCAGTTCAGTCCTACTGAACTGTTTTCCTGCAGAAACTGTAGACTACGACTTGCCATTTCCGGATTCTCCCTGAGCAATCCCGGAGCTCTCCGGAGAGTCCCTGATCACTCACTGATCATTGCCTGCCACATGACAGCCAAATAAAAGGCATTAAGCCAAGCCTAAGTGCACTGTCCTGATGATGTACAAGGCTCTATAATTTTCTGTTTGCCTGTAATTCCAAGGAGTACATCATTTTATATAGAGACTTTCCTCATCCTGCCTATGCTTCAGAGTGATAATAGTCAACATAATGCATCCTTGACTCTTAGTTATCTAGCAGACAGGGTAGTATCCCTGGTATCTCAATTTGAGCGAGATCTTAGAGTAGGTGCTTATGCAGCACTATTTGAGTACTGATGGAAATAGAAGACATGATGTAGATGAGAAGGAAGGCAGAATTAGGGAACAACCACCACCAATCGTTCATTACCAGTATGAACCCTCCCCCAATCACTTGGGCTTTTGGCCCATTCCCAGGAGGAGACAAAGGAGACAAACGTATCAACGCACACACCGATGGCGAGCATTTTATCGAGGCTGGCTTATGGTGTATGACACATCCTTCCCTGTTGACACTACCTGTACTGATTCTTCGCTTCTTCTCATTGACAGAAACCTTGCTAACGACTGCCACTACGCAGCAACCTATACATACACCACGACACAAAAGGTCAGCACCTCGGTTATAGGACTACTTCGGAGAGGCAGCTATCTAGTAATCATCAACCCTAATTTATGTGGATTTGCCGGTCTCGCATCATAGAAGGCCTCCCTAATTCGCCGCAGCCATAACCTCCTTCGAAAGCGAAAACTGATTCCCAAACCGTCTAAGCAGCAACTGCCCCACCGTGTCCTTGCTAGGATCATCCGGATTCAAAGGATTGGTAGCCGAAAAGTCCCCATGCCAGAACGTCGCACAGGAGAATCGTTCCGCGTCAGCAGACTTGTTGATCACCCGGTGCCTGGCGCTCCTGTACACCCCCGCGGACCATTTCTGAATCATATCGCCGCAGTTAATGACGAGGACGTCTTGCACGGCAGGCACGGGCAACCAGGCCTCGCTTTCATCGTGCCAAACCTCCAGACCCTCCCTGCCGGGCTGTTGGAGCAGGATGGTCACGCCGCCGAAGTCGGAGTGCGCGCCTACGCCAAACTGGCCGGGGAGGGTTGCGCTCAGCGGCGGGTAGCGGATCATCTTCATCATGATGATGGGGCGCTTGGTGAAGCTTTCCATGAGGGTTGTTGAGAAGCCTAGCCCTTGCAGGAGGATTTGCCAGATGAGTTTGCCCAGCGAGGAGGTTTGCTCGTAGTAGGACCAGACTGGCTGTCTGAATTGGTGGTCTGGGAGATCGGGCCAGACGTTTGGGCCGTGGAAGCCGGGGGGCTCGACGACGGGGTCTTCTCGGCCGATGTAGAAGGACTGATGTGGCCACCATTAGTATCGTATCGTATCATGTCATCTTGAACCGGATGGAAAAGTGGAAAAGTAAGTACCTCTTTCGAGTCGGGCAAGGCGTCCCCGTCTCGAAGGGACATTCCCGACGCTTCATACCCACGGCGACAAGGGCTCTTGAGAAACGAAAGCTTGACCTTGTCCTCGGCGGGAAGACTGAAGAAGTTGTCTAGGGCCTGGATCAACCCCTCCTGCTGCGACAGGGACACGCCGTGTCCTTTGACCTGGAAGAAACCATACTGCTGGCACGCCTCGCGGACCTCTGCGATTACGGCTTGCTGGTCCGAGGGTGAGGTGGGGTGGAGATATCGATCTAGGTCGATGATGGGGAGGCCTCCCATTGTTCGTTCAAGACGTACTTAGCCTTGTGCCAGAAATAGTAGTAAAGGAAAGAAACAGTCTGAAGAAGTGGACAAGGCTCTATCTTCTCGGACATTTTATATATATATCCCCGACAGCCCTCGTCACGTATTGTAACGTACGCGTAATTTTCAATTTCCTAGCCCTAACATTCGGCGGTTTCTTGCTACTACTCCTACTGAGCAGACGTTCGGTGCTCATCGAGTCACTCACTCGTAGTGATCAACGTGCAAGATATGAAAATACCCGAATAGTCGGTCATTTGTGCCTTGGCCTCGATAGAAGCCCAGAATGAAAAGCATGAGGAGTATTTAAGTCATAGGCGAGGCGTTTGATCTGATCCCTGCAGTGCAGCTTTCCGTCACGTCACCCCACTGATACTCCTGCTACATCAAAATGCATGTCCTTATTGTTGGAGGCGGCCTCGGAGGCCTCAGCCTCGCCCAATGTCTCCGAAAGCAGGGCATCTCGTTCGAGATCTTTGAGCGGGATGAAAATGCGGATTCACGCTTCCAGGGCTGGGCAATTGCCATTCACAGGTAGCCCTCGCTGCCCTCATACCTTGTAGTCATGCTCAAAGGTTGATATAATGACTTGACAGTATCATTGATCAAATCACCACTGCCTTTCCATCGGATATGCCCGATCTGAAAGAGGCCACGAACCATCTCGCGCCGCTAAACCTCCCGGCCCAGATTGGGCTGTACTTTCCTGGCAGGGAGGGCCGTCTTGGTGTGCAGGTAGTCTCTACCATCCAGAAAACAATGGCAACTAGTGCCTAGGCCCAGCTGATTGATAGTCATGTAGGACTCTCCTGAGCTACCGATCATCCGCTCCGAACGCCGTCGTCTTCGGGACTGGCTGGCTACCAACCTTGATATCCAATGGGGCAAGCGAGTCAGGAGAGTCAAGCACGACGACAACGGCGTCGCCGTCTTCTTTGAGGATGGGACTAGCGCCACGGGAGACATTCTCGTCGGTGCCGACGGGATCAAGAGCGTGGGTAGGTCCAGTCCCCCCTCCCTCCCTCTCCCCCCGCTTCCGTTTATCCAATTAATTTAACGATACGCAAAATACAAGTCCGAGAACACCTCCTCCAAAAACCCAGCGACCAAGTCCTAAACCTCATCCCCCTAGCGGCCATCGTCGGCGAACTCGACCTCCACGGCAAAGCGTTCGCGCGCCAGCTCGCCCTCGGCCACAGCGCCTACATCTTCATCAGCCCAGACCTCGGCTTCTGGAACTTCGGCGGCCTGCACCACGTCTATCCCGACGGGGTCTCGGGCCGGCACTACTGGATGTTCATGGAGCCCGACGCGCACGTCGCCGAGCCCACGCACTGGCTGCAGCGCGCGACCCAGGAAGAAAAACTCGCCTACGTGCTGGAAAAGGTGGGCAAGCTGCCCCCGAAGTTCCGCGAGATCTTCGAGGCGACGCCTGCGAGCGGGATCAAGGCCGAGCCGCATATCTGGCGTGATCTGGAGCTTGAGGCGGAGAGTGTGCCTGCCGGGCGGGTCATTCTGATGGGGGATGCGGCGCATGCGATGACGCCGTTTCGGGGGGAGGGGGGGTATCATACGTTTATTGATGCGTTGCAGTTGTCGAGGATGCTTGGGAGCGTAGATGTGCGGGATATCGAGGCTGTCAAGGCTGCGGTTGCGGCGTATAATGCTGAGATGCTGGAGAGAGGGGTCGAGGCGGTGCGGAACTCGAGGAATGACCAGCAGGCTAGGAATACGGCGCGGAAGTCCAAGGTCGTCTCGGCGATGCAGGAGGCGAAACCGCTTCCTGAGGTGGAGATTGTTCTAGAGACGAGAGCGTGATCATTCCTATATCTATCTGTTCATACCCTCTAGAGAGAATGGACGTCTTTCTAACATACCTGCTTCTTCTAACCCTGTAGAGGATAGATTCGATGAGCCTAATCAAGGTAAAGAAGACGGTCGAGAGCAAATTCTTACCGTCATCTCGATAGTCTGCATGTAGATTGTCATTCAGGATCTGGATCGTTCAAGGCTTATGGCACACGTAGTCTCCAGACCACTTGGTTTTATGTAGGAGAAAAACCGTATCGTAATACCTAAATAGCTAAGACTCTACAGAATACACAAGCTTCTGACCAGACATTGCCTGACTGCGAATAAGGTCCACCCCTCGAATAACCCCCTCCCAACCACCATCCTGCACCTTGACCGGATGAGCATCAATCAGCCCCCGATCCAGCAGCGCCTGAACCGCCGCAAAAGCCCTTGCCCCAAACGCCCGGTCCTCCGGCCGCGCCTCACGCCCATACTCCCCGTCCAATGCAACCTTATGACCGAAGATCGTCAGCACCATAACCCACGACGGCTGAATCGTCAACGGGCGAGTCTGCGAGATGGTCTCCCGGAAAGGCTCGAGCGAGACATAGCGGCCGCCCACACGGCCGATGGCCGCGTAGCAGAGCTGCGTGGTGTCGGCCTGGGTGACGCAGTCGAGAGCGTAGGCCAGCTCGTTGCGCGTGTATGCGCGGATCTCCTCCGCGCAGGTTGGGCTGCGGTAGTCGAAGACCTTTTCGGCGCCGAAGCGGCGGGCCAGCTCGAAGTTGGAGGGCGAGCAGGTGGCAATGGGGCGGAGGCCGGCTCTTGACGGGTTTTAGCCATGCAGCAAGTGTATTGCATTCCGAGCAAAAGACTCACAGCTTAAGCAGTTGGAGAGCACGCGTGCCGGTTGCGGTGCTGCCGCCTGCAACTAGGACAAACTCCCCTCCTCCCTCTCCCTCTCCCACTGCGGCGGGCTTGTCCACGCGCGTGGAGAGCTGCTCCAGAGACGCCGGCACGCGTAATTCATGGAACAGGCCCAACGCAGCAGTGGCAACGCCAGTCCCCAAGGACGCGGCATTTTCGAAACTCACATCGTCGGGGATCTTCAGCAGCAGATCCGCATACGCGCCCACGTACTCGGCAAAGGCGCCCACGTCTGGTTTGAGCTTGTTCATGCCGTGGACCAGGCCCGCTACCCTATCGCCGACGGCCAAGTGGCCCGCTGCAAGGGCGTCGGCGCCTAGGGCGACGACGGTGCCGGCGAAGTCGTACCCGTGGATGGCGCCAACCGCTGCGCTGTAGTCGAGCATCTTCGCGTCGGCCGGGTTGATGGCCACTGCGGCGGTCTTTACGATTACCATGTCTGGACCGAGGGCGGGCATGGGTGCATCGTGCTGGATTGCGAGCTTCCCTGGTCCCTGGGCCACCACGGCTGTTTGCCGCGGGCGTAATGACAGTGTTGGACAAGCTGACGGCATTGTGATTGTGCACCTGAATGTAGACAATGGCAGAGGGCAGAGGGGCAGGTAGGTAGCAAAAAGTGAGGCTCTGATTAATAAGGAAACTGGCTGATGCTCTTCTTAAATGTCTTGCCCCGGTAATGTTTGTATGGTAACGTTTCATGACGGTTGTAACGAAACAGACTCGGATATATAATATATATTATGACGTGAGATAGAACCGAAAACCAGCACCGAAGTCAACAAACCATATATGAAGCCGAAGAATGTCGCCGAATGCATTTTTTGTATGGTATCTGCCGTAGTCAGCAGTGTATTGGTTCAGGATGAGACGTTGCTTCGATATAACCACCAGAGAGCCAACCCCATGAGTTCATGAACTGGATATTGACAGTGGAATCCGCGGAATCATGTCGTGTCCGGCTCAGCTTGACATCATGGCATGTCCAGTCCCTCGCGAAGAAAAAGAATTCCGCACCCAGACCCAGACCATCATCGAGGAAAAGATCGATCACTCGAGCCTGCTCCCAATTCCCTCCCCTCCGCACCAGCATTACTTTGGTCTGCTGGGACACGCCCCAGACCTGGATCCCGTTCTCCCAGTAAAGACCTACTGGCAACTTATGGACCAGTATGCACCCATCTTCCAGCTCGATCTCAACATGCCCTATCCACGCGTCTTTGTGGGGAGCCGCGAGCTCGTCAACGAGATGGCGGACGACACCCGCTTCACCAAGTTCACTCATCGACTACACCGGGAGATGCGAGCTGTTTTCGGCGATGGGTTATTCTCCGCCGAGTCGACGGACAAGGCATGGTGGAAGGCTCATCGGCTTCTTGTTCCAGCATTTGGTTGGTTCTTTCTGGAGCAAAGCTGAAGTTGTAGCCAGGGAACTGACCCGCCAAACAGGCCCAGTCGGACTGAGCAAGATGTTTGATGATATGTATGAGCCTCAAACCGTCATCAACTATCAGGGCTAACAGGGCCAATATACAGGCAGGATATCAGTGCCCAATTGATCCTCAAATGGGACCGATTCGGCCCTGAACAAGAAATCGAAATGATCGAGGACATGTCGCGGCTCACCTTCGATACAATCGGGCTCTGCGCCTTTGGCTACCGCTTCAACGAGTTTTATTCGGACGGCCCACACCCGTTCATGAGACAGCTGAAAGAATCGATTGTGGAGTCGGGGAAGCGCGCCAATCGGCCGGACCTGATCAACCTGCTTTACTTCCGTCGAGACGAGGAGCATCGACAGGAGAATATCGTGAAGATGAGGGCGCTCTGCCGACAGATCATCCAGGAGCGACTTGAAAACCCCAAACCCGAAGCGAACGACCTGCTGAACGTGATGCTCAATGGCGTTGATCGGGAGACTGGCGAGAAACTGGGGGTTGAGAATGTCATTTTCCAGATCCCTACCCTTCTCGGTGGTGGCTACGAGACCACCAGCTCCACCCTCTGCTTCATCTACTACTTCCTCTGCAACAATCCCGACACGATGCGCAAAGCCCGAGAGGAAGTGGACCGGATCGTTGGCGACAACGTCCTCAACTATGGCATGCTGCGGAAGCTGAGGTATCTTGACGCAGTCATGAAGGAGGCGCTACGCTTGCAGCACCCTGTCAGTTTGCTGACCAGGTTCGCCGTCCGGGACACCGTCATTGGAAACAAGTATCTCATTAAAAAGGGGCAGACGGTGTCCGGAATCTGGCGCCATTTCCACCGCGACCCCGACGTATGGGGCGCGGATGCCGATGAGTTTCGACCTGAACGCATGTTGGATGTGAATTTCTCCAAACTACCCACCAACGCCTGGAAGCCGGTAGGTCATTGATCTCTCCCCCGCTTCGCCCCGAGACTCCAGCACTAACCGTGTAAGTTTGGCGACGGCTTGCGGGCGTGCATCGGTCGTGGCTTTGCGGAACAAGAGATCCTCATCAACCTAGCAATGGTGTTGCAAAAGTTCGACATTGAAAAGGCCAACCCAGCGTACCAGCTACAGCTCACAGGGCAAATGGGTGTCAAGCCTGTGGATTTCAAAATCCGGGTCCGGCGTCGCTCAGACCGGACCCTGATGACTGGCATCCCTGGAGGAGTGGCAGCAGCGCAGGAGTCTGCAAAGGCGCCGCCTCGGCACCAGGGCCAGCCGCCACAGGACACCACGCCGAGACCAACCGGTGCGAAAAAAGCCGTGTCCGTCTTCTTCGGAGGCAATCAAGGAACTTCGGAGAGCCTGGTCGACGCGCTTTCTAGGATGACTCCTGAATTTGGCCTCGAGCTCGATGTACGGGAACTCGATGCTGCGACGGAGAATCTGCCGACGGACAAGCCCTGCGTTATTATCACGCCGTCATACGAAGGTAGACCGCCGGATAACGGAAAGAAGTTTGTCGCCTGGGTCGAAAGTCTGGCCTCCTCCAAGTGGGGGGGAAAGCTGCCAGCCGGAACGAAGTTTGCCGTGTTTGGCGTGGGAAACAGTGACTGGGTACATACTTTCCACCGGATACCCATCTTGATCGACGAGTGCCTCGAGAAGCTGGGTGCCGAGCGGATCATCGAAGCTGGCTTTGCGAATGTGAAGCGCGACCTCGTCGGACCGTGGGAGGCATGGAGCGAGAAGCTGTGCATGATTCTATCGGGCAGTACGTCGCAGGAACATCCCAGTCGGATCGGCGTCGACGTGCACATCGAGAACAGTGAGCTGCAGACACTCCCTCAGGCACTCGCCGGCGGCGAGGAAATGTTCACAGCCGTCGTCACTGCCAATCTTGAGCTGGCAGACACGACAGTGGGCCCTGCCAAACGACATACTGAAGTGCGTCTTCCTGCCGGATGTGGATACCGATCAGGCGATTACTTGGTCATCAAGGGTCGGAATTCAGACGAAGCGGTGACCCGAGTTATGAAGCGATTCCGTCTCACTGCCGGAGACGTGATGAGTGTCCCGCCGTCAAGCAAGAAGAAGAAATTCCTCCCTGTCCAACCGATGGCAGTGGAGCATTTCCTTCGGAGCAGGGTCGAGCTCGCGGCGCCTATCAGCAAGCGGCAGCTCGAGACCCTGGCCTCTTTCGCCAAAGGCGACACCGCAGAACGTATCCAGCTACAAAGGATGCTTGACGACACGTCCTACCAGCGCCTGCTGGACAAGAGATACTCTGTCATTGATGTTCTCGAGGAAGTCCCCCAGCTGGATTTACCATTTGGAGTATACATTGACTTCCTCCTCCCGTTGGCGCCACGGGTATACTCCATTTCTTCCTCTCCCATGCAAGGAGACTCGGTCACGAGCGTCACCTTCGACGTCTTCGAGGCCGAATCCCTGAGCGGCCACGGCACGTTCCGCGGCGTAGCCAGCTCCTACCTCGCCAGCCGCACGCCAGGAGACTCGATCGTCTGTTGCATCCGGCCAACCAAAGTGCCCTTCCACCTGCCTCCAGACCCGAAGACGCCCATCATCATGGTCGCTGCCGGGACCGGCATTGCGCCCATGCGAGCCTTCTGCCAAGAGCGAGCGGCCATTTGCCGTGACGGACGGCAGCAGCTCGGTCCCGCCCTTCTCTTTTTCGGCTGCAGACACCCGGAGAAAGACTACCTGTACCGGTCTGAGTTTGAGGCCTGGGAAAAGGAAGGGATCGTGGAGATGATTCCCTGCTTTTCGAGACCGGATGACGGGCGCCGCAGACGATACGTCTCGGATGCGCTGTGGGAGCACCGGGAACGTGTCTGGCCGATGTTTGAGGGCGGAGCATGTGTATACACGTGTGGAAGCGCGGGCAGGCTGGGGAGGAGTGCTGCAGCGACGTGGAGGCGGATCTGGATGGAGAAGACGGGCAGAAGTGAGGCCGAGGCACTGGAGTGGTTGGATACGATGAAGAATGTTCAGTACATTAGTGATGTGTACTAATATCGCCCGCTGGCCATATAATCACAGATGAGAAGCCCTATTCCACGCCCTATCGTCGTATGTGCTAGATTTATAGGAAAAAAGGGTATTCAGTGCGGATCAACATAAACTCGAGGAACATGTATATCTATCCCTATATATGTATATGTCCAGTCATGCAAAAAGCTTAAACCCCCCAGGAACCTGTCTCTGAAACATCTGCTGGGGATCATACCGCCTACTGACATCCTCGACACGAGCCTTGTTCGCCTTCCCATAACTGCCAAAGGGGTCCTGCGACTTGTCCGCATAGTTCAGGTACTTGAAAGGGATATAGAGGCCTGCCCTCTGCAGGATCGCCTCTTGTGCATTGACCATGGTCTGGAGGCCAATCATCGCCGTGTTGTCGTCAGACGCATTGTCGTAGGCGACGGTGGCGAGTCCGATCACGATATCTGTCTCGCCGGGTGCCTGGCCGAGGGAGTTTGTGCCGTTCGTGACGGGTTGAGGCTGGAGCAGGTATTGGACTTGCAGGCCCGAGATCCCGGCCTCGACGAGGGAGGTGCACCCGTCTTCCCAGATCTGGAAGAGGTGTTTGTATATCGTTGCGTTGGCGTTCTTGAAGGAGTATACGAGCTCGGTTACCCTATCTTGGTAATCAATAACTTAAGCCCAAAGCACAGGCATGGAATTGAAGCGCATACCGATTCAGCCTTGATGGAAGAGAATCTCCAAATTTAGCCACCATGCCACTCACGTTATTGAAGCCCAGGTCGTCCAAAATCGGGGACGGCAGGGAGGTAAACGGCCGGTAGACAGGCGGGTAGGCGACTGGTTCCGTGTAGAAAAGCGAGTTCCCAATCGAGAAGCTGCCGTCGGCGAAGTTCAGAATAAGCCCCATGTCTGCTGCACTGTCGAAGTTGGCGGGATCCATGAACTCGCTGAAAGCTTGGGCCTGGGCGTTGATGGTCTGGTGGTCCGTGTAGTTGAACAGCACCAGGCCTCCCCACATCAGTCCCTGTGGGAAGGTCGCGAGATCAAAGCGCGTGACGATGCCGAAGTTGTTCGAGCCGCCTTTGAGCGCGAGCCAGAGGTCGCGGTGGGAGCTTGCGCTCGCGTAGACGACTGAGCCGTTGGCGAGAACGACCTCGTAGCCGTAGATGTTATCGCAAGAGAAGCCGTGCTTGCGCGACAGGAAGTTCAAACCTCCTGGAGGGGAATAATGAGTAAGGACTAAGGACTTCTATGGATATAAAGTAGACGCCTCACTAACCTCCGGTTGTAAATCCACCGATCCCGATTCCCGGAACTCGGCCCCCCATGACCGTGAGATTATGCGGCACGAGCTGAGGATAGAGATCACTGAAGATACTGCCGCCGCCGACGGAGGCAATCCTGTGATCGTCACTGAGAGCCAGGGCGTTCATAGCACGCATGTCCACTGTAATGCCCCCGTCGATATTCGCCGCTCCGGTGAACAGGGTGTGCCCACCGCCCCTGATGGTAAATTGAAGCGATGCATTTACGCTGACCAAGTGAACGAATTCGGAAACTTCGGCGGTGCTAGTTGGTCTGAAGATGCAGCTGGGACTCAGGGCTCTCTCGAATCCGGAGTAATAGGATGACACCGACGCAGTGTAGATCGGGTCTCCCGAGTACGAGACACTGCCTGGGAACCGGGAATTGAGGATATCGCAGACACTACCTGTACTACTGCTGGGAAGCGCCACCGTGGCCAGGGGGAGCAACCCCAGCAGTTGGAGAAGTGGTCCAATGAGCCGGGACATGGGAACGTACTTGTTAGTCGTTACAATTTGAGTGTGGGATTATTGTCCATCACAGTACGATAATATATTCATACGAATTCGTAATTGCGAAGTGGCCCCTGAGGCTGGACTCAGCGAGCGTCATTAATGCCCGAAGCAACGTCTGCAATGAAAATATTGCCGATTCTGCCGAAAACTATGACTGATTCGGCGCTTTTACACAGTGGACATACAACTACGTATACATTCCTGCACCAGCTGTGCAGCTACATAGCTGATTGATTGAGTTGGAGGGTCCCAACAATGCCAGCCTGTGTAAGAGGCATGGGTATTGTCATTGCAGCAAGAGAAAGCCTATCAGGAATACAGTTTAGTCTGGAGTGCTCTACCGCTTATTACTTTTTTATAACTCGCTTTGGTCCTCCTCTTGTCCCCTTAGAAGAAGAACGAGACATCAAGTGCAAGCGGGGGGAGCAAGGTGTAACTCATAGAGCTTGAATACCACAATAATGTGCTGGAAAACGAAACCACAGCAAGGCAAACTATTTAAACGAACTGGTGGGCCGGGGACCAAGCCCACTCTTCTCATACGCCATGTCCAACATCTTCATCTGGGCGATCGAGTCGTCCCCATTGATCCAGTGTTGAGTCTTGCGGCCCTTGACGCGATTGACGAATTGCTCCAACTGGTGCCGATACGACATCCAGTAAGCTTCCCCAGGCAGGTCCGCGAACTCCCCACCCGCTTCCTTGAAAGTGTATGCTTTGCGGGAGGTCTTCTCCTCCCATTTTCTGATGGTCTCGCCCGTGTCTCGGCTCCGGATCTCGTAGACGTCTTTGATATCGATCCGGTGCCAGAAGATGCCGTGCACGAAGCCGTGGAGCGTTAGCTCGCGCTGTTGAGCTTTGAACTGCGAGTCGGGGAGGCTTTTGTCCGCCACGATGGTTTCCCTGTGGGTTACGGTGACGTGGGACGGGGTCCAGTACGTGGGTCCCTTGAGGGTACTCGACGCCTCGCCGATGCCGCCGTTGGGAAACCGGAACTTGGCTGTGAAGTCGTAGTCGCATTTGTCGTGGATGCCGTCGGTGTAGGCGTGGGTCTGGCAGCTGAGACACTCTTCCGGCTCGGCGTCGAAGAAGAGCCGCAGCGCGGCGAAGTTGTAGGTCCCCATTGCCATCATGCTTCCGCCGGACAGGTTGTAGTTGAAGTGGATGTCGTCCTTGCTGGTTCCCCACCAGGGAATCATGGAGACGGCGTTCACGTGGACGACATCGGCTGGGTTGATCAACGAGCGGAAGTAGGACCAGGCCGGGAAGAAGCGGCTGTGGAACGCTTCCAGCAGGACGGGGCCATTAGGCTGAGACAACTCGGGCAGGGTGAAGAGGATTTCTGCTTCTGTCGCGTTTGACACGGAAGGCTTCTCTAGGAGGACATGCTTGCCGGCGCGAATGGCACGGACGGCCCATTCATAATGCAGGCCGTTTGGAAGGGGAATAAAGACACAGTCGATGTTGGGGTCGTTGAGAATATCTTCGTATGACTCTTTGATTTCGGGAATGCCGTGAGATTTGGCAAACGCCTCGGCCTTGTTACGATCCCGAGCCGAAACCGCCTGGATGATGACTTCGGGATGAGACTTGGCGGGAGTAATCAGGGCAAGGGGGCTGCATTTGATACGTCAGTGGGCTTGCTTAGTCTTCCAGCAAGTGGATAATCTCTTACGCGATGTTGGCAGCTCCCAAGATGCCGAATTTGAGGGCATCTCCACGCTTGGCAGGTTGTTGCGGCGGACTGAACGCCTGGTAGATTCGACCGACCATGGATGCCAGAGATCCCATGATGATGTTGCTCAAGAGTCAGTACATGAGTAGAACATCTTGCAATAGAATGAAGAGTGATAGCTTCGACCCACCATACTACTAATATACCTTGAGTCCTTAGTAAGGTTGCTAAGGTGTGGACAATGCACGCTAACGGGGCATTTTCTGAGTCAGTAAGCGCCGATAGAGTCAAGAATCAAGAGTCCGGTCCAGTCTAGTATAGTCTACGGAGGTGTGGTGCAGAACTCATTAGCTCTACTCAGCCTACTAGTAAGCTTAGCAAGGTAATAAGACCAAGCAACATTACATAGTAATTTATATAGTTGGCACCAAACCACTGCGATTTCGAGTTCAAATTTTAGGACCTGGAGCCAACCTGGATCCAATCTGGGTTGGTGGTGGTTAAAAATCATCCTTAGATCATAGTAATTGTTGAAGGTTGATGCACGTATATCACCACTTTCATACCAACCCCTAACAGAGATGATTATTCCCTTGTATCTCAGCAACCACTAGGTATTATAAATTAATATTTATATATTTAGATAGCCTGAATCAGGGACTATCTAGTGATATTAAAATTTCTATAGAAATCCTAGAAATTAGTGATTTCTATCTAAAACAGATTAGGTAGTTTCACCGAACCTGAATTAGGCTTGGGGAAGGGAACCCGCCCCTAAAGCGATTCCTTAGGCTTGCCCCCGAACCCCCCCCCCGCTGCGAGCTCGGTGAGGGTTGGATTCGATTTTTGCGGTTCGGTTATGCAACTCTAGAACCAGTTCCTAAGAAGTGTGCTGTATTACATGGTTTCCTAGACTCTCATCCAGGTTCACACGTGGCGCTGTAGCAGCTGCAAGGTGCAGCCACGTTGGCTCATATCTTATTGCTTCAGCACGAGAATACGACGTCGATACTACGGCATGTTTGTTATAGATTACGGATACCACCTACGGATACCACCTACCTGAATAGGTATATCACTTCTATCCGCCCATGCCTCATTCCCGTTCTACCCAGCTGATTACGATGGCAGTTGGACAAGAAGCTCGGCCTCCCCGCGCGGGACGGGACGGGTGTGGAGAATTGGCGATCCTAGGTTAACCTTAAATACGATCAAGTGACGAGTTATTCGAGTCAATAGACCTCGTGCAGTTGTCTGATCTTCATGTGGTGGACAACAAGTCTATGATAGGGCGACTGACTTTGTTCTCCTGCAGAATTGGCGCTGCAAAGAGTGTTTGATCGCTACCTAGACCCCCAGTGGCAATACAAGATCTAGGGGCTGCGCGCTTTCGCTTCTGCTTCTCATTTACTGTGCGTAGCCCCTTTATCTCCTGGTCTAGGAGGAGGACTAAGAGGACTGGAGTGGGTCTCTCCAACTGCAGTGCGGCACAGTGATCTGCATCAGTAATATCATCTACATGAAGGAATACGCTGATTTAATCCTGGTAATGTCGGCCACGAATACGATTCTGGCCGCGGTCGAGAGAGACCTGAATCATTGATTCGATTGAAGTTGCCAGGAACGAAAGGGACAATTCTCTATATGCGTGTAGGTCAGAGCCACGGTGTTAGCACGAGTAACTCAAAGCTAAATAGCACTTGCTACTTGCCTCGCATCGTATTTCCTAAAATGAGTAAGCTCTGAATCAGTTCTAACTGCCTTAGCGTTGGGGGCCATTTTTTATGAGTTGGATAGACATAAATGGCAGTTCTATCTCTCCCTGCCTTAGCGTTGGGGGCCATTTTGTATCCAAGAGTTGGATAGACATAAATGGAAAAGCCTCGTGAGGCCATGGTGCTTAGGGCGCTATGGATAGAAGTTATCTAACTGCTTTAAACCTTCTCTAGGTCCACCCCATCCCATCTTCTTCCTCGCAGGATGAATTGAATTTGATGAATCCCTCTAATAGCAATGACTGTGACTCCCCGGCGACAATCGTGTGATCGATGCCATGGACAGAAGCTGCGATGCACCCGTGCTGGCAACAGTGACATGGGAGCATGTATTCGGTGCCTCCGCCAAGGCGCTGAGTGCGTATATAGCTCCAGCTTGCCAAAAGGCCGTCCTAGCATGTATCGCGTGGCCGACCCACCAGCTGATGGACAAGATAGCAATGTCGATCTCAGTGCCAGTACCGCAGACAAAGCCGATCGCCATGCCACAGTTGCCTCTGCTACCACTACCAGAACAACAGATAGATCGCACAGTACCGGTAACCCCGACACGGATACCAATACAAAAAGACCATGTGCAGACTCAAACATTGACCAGCATAGCACAGCGGATTGGAGGTCGGTTTTTCCAGAATCGATGGATACCTCCACCGCCATGTGGTCGTGCCAAATGCGCATGCACGAAATGGAGAGATACGGCAATGAGCAGCAGGACTGGACCTCCAACATGTTTAACCTCATCGGCCAGCAGATGGACGCCGGCTTGGCTTCCGTCGACACAGTACCAAGTCTCTTGCCATGGGAGAACGGCGATTGCTCCTGTCTATGGAGTGGACTCGTCCAGACAACCGATCACCGCAGTGATATGATGGCCGGCAAAATCAGCCCTGATATCGGCATTTCGCAGCTGTCGCAACTAAGTAATCGCCTCTCCTCCCTGCATCGTTGGAGTTGCACAGTTGCGGACAATGTTGAGCGAGACTCAAGCCAAGCATGCCACAGCTCCCTTATCAACGATGTCTCGTTCAAGTCCGTGGCATCGTGGTTGGTACACGCCTCCGCCGATATGAACTTTTTCCCCTGCATGGACCCCAAGACGAGTACGCTTGAGCAATCCTCCACGGACAATACTCTCCACAATGTCTTTTCCGCTTCGTACCAATTTATGGAGACCTTGCGTGGCTTGTATGGTGAGTCTACATCTGATCCATGCACCAACACCTCCTCCGCATCATCGATCTCCACGCAGGACATGCAGCCTGGGCCTCCTCCGCCATCAGGGGTTCCATACTCCAGCATTATCGAGCGCCATCTGGTAGTTGCGTGTCATACTCTGCTCCTCAAGATTTATGTGGCCGTGTTTATCTCCCTGCAGCGTGATGTCGATCGTTTGTCTCGTCTGGTCCCTGCCAAGGTTGATCAGGATGCGACGGTGGACGCGTCGCTAGCCGATATGCGACTCGTCCTAATCGTGCAGCTTTGCTCCTATATCCTTGAGCGTCAACACCAAGCCGTTTCCAGTTACTTAGCACCGGAGTCCCCGCCAGTGCTGTCGCAGCAGCTTGATATCTCCGGTTCTTCACAGCCCACCACCATCACAGGCGCGGAAGGTGAGCCTGATTCGGAGGTTCAACGTCGGTTGGGACGGCTTCGAGAATTATTGCGTATCTGATCCGATCATTTCGTGGCAGAGAATGCCATTGTGGGTGGCACAGCTCGGTTGTTGGAAAGGATCGAGTTTAGGGATGTGAAACGTCTGGATTTTGTTTTATGTTTTTAGCAGTCTTTGTGACTTGTCTCTGGTAGAAAAGACACAATACTAACGAACGCACACGAACGCACTGATGAGTTTTGTTTTGAGTAGCTATGAAGACGTTAACCATAGATATTATATACTTCCTGATGCACCTATGGCCGGGTTCTTCCCTTCCTTACTCAACGCGCCTTAGAAACAGAATAGATTTCCTTCATGGCATCAACATCCAAGACCCCGATAACGCAGTAGACCTGGATGATCAGGTGTATTCGCTTTGAAATGGGACATTTGTGTAGCCTTATCTTTGGAAAGAACAACTTCACTATATGGGGCAAGCAACTCATGGAAATGATGACCCATCATCACGATTCACAGACTAAAGTGCAGGAAGAACAACAAGTCAGTTGAGTATGGGTAGTATGCTTAGATTCAAGACACTGAGTCGGATGTCCAGTGCAAATCGCCGTAAGCGACAAAGTAAGCCTGAGGCCCTGAACGCTTCGGTGGTTACTTACTCAGCAGTTCGTTCGGTCTCAACTCTCAACTCCCAACACAACCTACGAACCTCTTCGGCGCAACTAGCACGCTCACTCCTGAGAGATAACGTCAAGCTCGGTGAATATTATCTATCGGCGATATACCTGATGGGTCTCAGGCCGGTGGATGGCTCTCTGCAGTTGGCAATGCGGCGTTCAATGACGGCAGCCAGACCCCTTGAACGGGCAATGCAGAAGGATCAATGGATGTCCATTAATGGTGTCTACCCCTCGAATATACCGGTCAGATCTAGGGAACTGTATTCAACATTCACATTCACATTCAGCTCAGCCAACTCTCCTGAGAAAAAGGAAAAAGGAAAATGGCACCCCAGCGCCCTGTCCCAGAACCTATCGCTATTGTGGGAAGCGGCTGTCGCTTTCCCGGAGGTGCTAATTCCCCTTCTGCCCTGTGGAAGTTGCTGGAAAAGCCCCACGACGTGTGTCAAGACATTCCGAAGGATCGATTTGATACTACTGCTTTCTATCACCCTGATGGCAGCCATCATGGCACTACGAACGTACAACATGCCTATCTCCTGTACGAGGACCTCAAGGTGTTTGACACGGCCTTCTTCAACATCAGTCCGAACGAGGCGGATTCGATCGATCCACAGCAGCGCCTCCTCTTGGAAACCGTGTACGAGGCCCTCGAGGCTGGCGGCCACACCATGGAGGCCTTGCGTGGCTCTGACACGGCTGTGTATGTGGGAACGATGGGTGTGGACTATAACGACACCCTCCTTAGGGATCTTAACACCATCCCAACCTACTTCGCTACCGGGACAAACCGCGCCATCATCTCCAACCGTGTCTCCTACTTCTTCGACTGGCATGGTCCGAGTATGACCATCGATACGGCCTGTTCTTCTAGTTTGATCGCCGTGCATCAAGGTGTGCGGGCCCTGCGATCGGGCGAGTCGCGTGTGGCCGTAGCGTGTGGTACTCAAGTCATTTTGGGACCTGGTGAGTTCTTCTATGAACCCTTTTAAAGTTACGCATTTCTGACGTAGCCATAGAGGTCTTTATTTTTGAGAGCAAAATGAAAATGCTCTCACCCACGGGCCGTTCCCGGATGTGGGACGCTGATGCGGACGGCTATGCTCGTGGCGAGGGCGTGGCTGCCGTGGTGTTGAAACGCCTGAGTGATGCCATTGCGGACGGAGATCACATTGAATGTCTAATCCGGGAGACAGGAGCAAACCAGGATGGTTACTCCAACGGTATCACGGTCCCCAGCACCGAGGCCCAGGCAGCGCTCATCCGTCAAACTTACGCGCGAGCCGGTCTGGACACGGCAAATCCTTTGCATCGTCCCCAGTTCTTCGAGGCGCATGGAACGGGTACCAAAGCCGGTGATCCAAAGGAAGCCGCTGCAATCCATCAGTGCTTCGGCCAGCGAGCCGATGACGAAGCGCCGTTGTACGTAGGATCGGTCAAGACCGTCATTGGTCATACCGAGGGTGCTGCTGGCCTGGCCGGCCTCTTGAAGGCCTCTGGGATTATTCAAAAGGGCATTATTCCTCCGAATCTGCTATTCAACCGTTTGAATCCATCAATCCAACCTTTTTACGACGGACTGAAAGTCCCCACGACCCAGATGCCTTGGCCTCGGCTACCAGAAGGGGTTCCCCGACGTGCTAGTGTCAACAGCTTTGGTATGTTAAATGTTATCGTCGTGGACGTCCCATGACAGTTACTGACCAGACGCCCCCAGGTTTTGGTGGCAGTAATGCCCACGCGATCCTAGAGGAGTATAAGCCGGCCATGATTGAATCAACCTCCGCCATTCAGTCGCAATCTGCTCCGTTCACCCCATATATTTTCTCTGCCGTTGCTGATGCGTCGCTCGCCGACCAGCTCCAGGCCTATTCCGAGTACTTGAAGAAGTGTCCCAACGTGGATCCCTTGGACCTGAGATACACGCTGCAGTCACGCAGGAGCCAGCTACCTGTCAAGGCTGCCTTCTCCGCGACCACAATAGAACAGCTGACGGCCAAGATCGACGACAAGCTTGCGGAATTGAAGAAAACTCCCGGTACGACCGTCGGTATTCGATCTAACAACAAGCAGGCCAACCCTCATATCCTGGGCATATTCACTGGGCAAGGCGCACAGTGGGCGGCCATGGGTGCACAGCTGATTCTTTCGTCTGAATACGTACGCAAGCGCGTTGGGGAGCTCCAGGAATCTCTAGCTACTTTGCCCTCCTCTGATCGGCCGCAATGGGACCTCCAAGAGCAGATGCTTGCTGGAGCTGAGACTTCACGGATCGCAGAAGCGGCACTCTCACAACCCCTGTGTACTGCGATTCAGATTGTCCTCGTTGATCTGCTGAAAACCGCTGGTATCACCATCGATGTGGCCGTGGGCCACTCTTCCGGGGAGATTGCTGCGGCGTATGCGGCAGGCTTCTTCTCCGCCCATGATGCCATTCGCATTGCTTACTATCGAGGTTTCTATGCTCATCTTGCCGGTAACTCTACCACCGGCCAAAAAGGGTCGATGCTGGCAGTGGGGACTTCGATAGAAGACGCTGAAGACCTCATCCGACTCGGAGCCTTCAGAGGCCGACTCGCTGTTGCAGCCCACAACTCTTCAGCCAGTGTGACCCTGTCCGGCGATGCTGATGCTGTATTGCTTGCTAAGAAGGTGTTCGACGAGGAGAAGAAATTTACCAGACTACTGAAGGTAGACACGGCCTATCACTCGCCTCATATGTTGCCATGTGGCGACCCGTACATCCGCTCATTGCAATCATGCGGCATCCGCGTTAATAAAGAGCGAAATACGACCTGTTCCTGGTTCTCCAGTGTTACCGCCAGTGACAAACCGATAGAGCCCGAGGACAAGCTCCAAGACATCTATTGGCAGGACAACATGACGAACTCGGTTCTTTTCTGCGATGCTTCCAAGAATGCCGTCGCAAGTGATCCACAGCTGGCGCTCGCGATTGAAATCGGACCTCACCCTGCCCTCAAGGGCCCAGCCGTGCAGAATATCTCGGACGTTTGCTCAAACCCTCTGCCGTACACGAGTCTACTGAGCCGTGGCAAAGACGATGTCGAGGCTGTATCCGATGCGCTCGGCTTTATTTGGACACATCTTGGGGAGTCCGGGATTGACTTCCAGTCTTTCGAAACAGTTGTGTCTGGACGTGCATCACAGCCAAAGCTACTGGCTGGCCTGCCGTCCTATCGTTGGAATCACGGCCGAACACATTGGCATGAATCACGCCGATCACGAAAAATGCGCGGCCGCAAGCAAGCCTTCCACGAAATTCTCGGTGTTTTGTCGCCCGACTCAACGCCGCGGGACATGCGTTGGACGAACGTGCTCAAAGTATCCGAGATCCCATGGCTCGAAGGGCATCAGTTACAGAGCCAAACCGTCTTCCCTGCGGCGGGGTACGTCGCCATGGCATTCGAAGCAACCAAAAGTCTTGCTTCAAACAAGACTGTTCAATTCATTGAACTGAACAATCTGAACATTCCGCGGGCCATCACTTTTGAGGAAGATGGAAATACAGGGGTCGAGACACTGGTGACTTTGACGGCTATTTCCTCCAACAACGCAGCCACGACGGCTGATTTCTCGTGCTACTCGGCTCCAACATCAGCAGTTGATCAAGAGATGGAACTGATGGCGAGCGGTTCTGTCAGAATTGTCTTCGGCCCTTCTGGCGTCTCCACTCTCTGTTCCACCCCTCTGGCGGAGTATAACATGTCTATGATTGATGCTGACAGCTTCTACGCCTCACTAGGTAATCTCGGGTATGGATATCACGGTCCATTCCGGGGGATGTCGTCATTGAAGCGACGGCTGAACAGGTCTTCAGTCATGGTAGAAACATACAACTACACAGATGAAGATTCTTCGGTGTATGTCGTTCATCCTACCATGCTGGACGTCGCTTTCCAAGCATCAATGCTCGCCTACTCAGCCCCCGAGGATGAGCGCCTCTGGTCACTCCATGTCCCAACATCAATTAGGAGCATTCGAGTTAACCCGGAGCTGTGCTCCGCATTGCCAACGTGTGGGTCGCAGGTGCCCGTATACGCAGCTCTAGACGACTCGGAATCATTCAGTGCGAGCATTGACATATTCGACCAACATGGCAAGCACGCTATGATCCAAGTTGAGGATCTGACCATCAAGCCCTTCGCACCGGCCACTGAGGCGGACGATCGTCGTCTGTTTTCACGCATAAAATTCGACGTCGCATCCCCAGACGGGTCCTCTGTCGTGAGTGGCGTCCGCCCATCCACAAAGGAGAACCACTTGGCCACCGTCTGTGAAAGAATCTCTTATTACTATGTCCGGAAATGGAGATCAGAGATCAGTGAAGCGGAGTGGGCGAACGGCCAGCCTCATCACCTGAGACTTCGGGACTATGTAAACCATATATTCGACACCGCTTCGAGCGGAAAGCACCCTTGTGTCAAGAAGGAATGGTCAGAAGATACCAAGGAAGAAATCGAAGCGCTGATCAGCCGGTGAGTTACAAGCTTGTGCAACGGCTAGTCTCTTACTGATGTGATATGAAGATTCTCGGACGACATTGATGTCAAGCTTCTGTCGGCGGTTGGTGAGAATATCCCTGCTGCCGTGCGAGGAGAGACGACGATCTTGGAACATATGCTTCCGAACAACATGCTGGACGACTTCTACAAAAAAGGTCTTGGCTTTGAAAGATATAATTCCTTCTTGGCTAGTACGATGAAGCAGCTGATACATCGCTATCCCCACGCCAGGATTCTCGAAATAGGTAAGCCAAACATTTCGCTTTTTTACTTTTCATGGCGTGTCACCGTCTGCTAACCAAGCATAGGTGCCGGAACGGGTGGAGCTACAAAGTCTGTTCTAGAAAGCATTGGGACCTCATTCTCCTCATATACGTACACCGACGTGTCAGTGGGCTTCTTCCAACAGGCCTCGGAGCTGTTCAAGGCGTACAGCAACCAGATGATATTCCAGGTTTTGGATATTGAAAAGGCCCCGTCTGATCAAGGCTACGAGCCAGGCTCATATGACATTATCATTGCTTCCAATGTGCTGCACGCTACCGCGTCGCTCCAAAGAACCCTGGAGAACACACGACAGCTTCTGAAGCCAGGGGGTTACCTTATGTTGTTGGAAATTACCAACAACGGGCCAATCCGCTTTAGTAACATCATGGGTGGCCTCCCTGGTTGGTGGCTCGGGGTAGACGATGCCCGCAAATATGCCCCTACCATCAACCCCGGACAATGGCGCACTGCTCTTCGCAAGACTGGCTTTGGGGGAATTGACGCCATCACCCCGGAGATCGACACACTGTCTTGGCCATTGTCTATCATAGTGTCACAGGCCGTGGACGAGCGAGTGAATTTCCTCCGACGTCCTTTGTTGAAGTCTTCATCTTCGGCCGCGATTCATATTGAGAGCCTTGTTATCCTCGGCAACGAGGGCCTCCATAGTTCTCGAATTGCAGAGGAATTGGAGGAGCACCTCGGACCGATTTGTGGCCAAATCACTATTCTCAATGGATTACCTACTGAGGATGATGCTCTTTCGCTGCCTCCGATGAGCGTTTTCATCAACCTTGTGGATATTGAGTCTCCAATTTTCAAAGATATGACGGCCGAGAAGATGGATGGTCTAAAGCGGCTTTACGAGTTGGCAAAGCATATCCTCTGGATTACTGTAGGTGCTCAAGGAGAGGAGCCATACCACATGGTCAGTATTAGCTTCAGCCGCGCCATGAGGCATGAGGCAGGGCACATTTGCCTAAGTCATCTGGATATGTCCGATCTCGACCACGACGTTTCCAGGCTCATCGCCGAGTATCTCCTGCAGCAAAGTGCGCTCGACGAGTGGCAGTCCTCGCCCAGCAGTCAAAACCACAAACGGTTGCTCTGGTCAAAAGAGCCGGAAGCTTTCTACAATCGTGGACAGCTCATGATCCCCCGACTGATCAACAATCCCGACCGAAACGCTAGAATCAACTCTGCACGGCGTGTCATTACCAAAGCTGTGTCTCTCTCAACCTCGAACATTGCCATTGTACCGTCTGCCAATTCGACTCTTTCGCTGGTGGAGCAGGTCTTGTCTGTGCCAGTCCAGGGCGACCAGAGTCTGGTAAAGGTCGAAAGCTCAAGTCCGACGGCGCTTCGTGTCGCAGCGGACACGTTCTTATTCCTGGGCATCGGCAAGGTTCGCGCCACACGGGAAAAGGTGGTGGCCCTCTCGTCTGTGAATTCAAATGAGACGGTTCCGCTTGCAAGTGTACCAGCCCGGTTTACTCAATCGGCTGACCAGCTCCTCGTCGCTGTTGCATGCGAACTTGTCTCAGCGTCTTTAATCGAGACGATACCCTCAGGTAGTAGCATCTTGATCCACTGCGGCAACAGTGATCGCTTCTTGGTTTCTGCCCTGTCACGGAGAGCCGCGGCCAGAGGAATCCGCTTGCACATAACCACCGAGTCAGAAAGCGGTGATGCACGAGAACAGGATTGGATGAATCTGAATGCTCGTATGCCAAGACAGGTGCTCCGGCAGCTCCTGCATTTGGCCAGGGCTACACATTACCTCGACCTGACTGCCGGTATCTCCGAGCTTAGCCACACCATTCCTGCTGTCTTGCCTGCGGGACACAAGAGAATCGAGCTCACTGAGCTGTTCCGGGACGAATCACTCCTGTCATGCGACGCGAAGGAATTGGCTAGTCGACTGGAGGACGCTCTTGAAAGCGTGCCAACTATGTCCGATGCTCCGGTTCAAGATCTGGTTGTTCCTATTGATCAGATCCAAGGCCATCTGCGACCAACCTCCACGACAAGTGTCGTCAATTGGGAGACAACTGACGACGTCACAGTAGAGGTACGACCTCTCAATGCACAGCGCCTCTTCGCTCATGACAAAACGTACTTGCTTTTTGGACTCTCAGGCCAAATCGGTCAGTCGCTCTGTGACTGGATGGTGTCCAATGGAGCCGGTTGCGTATGCCTGACAAGCCGCAGTCCAAAAGTGGACGAAGCCTGGCTCAAGTCTTTTGAGGGAAGAAATGCAACCGTCAAGATCTATTCAATGTACGTGAGATGCTGTCCTTTCTTTCCAACGTCAAAGCTAACGCCATTAATAGGGATATCACGGATAAAGCCGCGTTGGAACGAGTCGTCGGCGACGTCAGGGCGACCTGCCCGCCCATTGCTGGTGTCGCCAACGGAGCGATGGTTCTCAAAGACACGCTGTTCTCGAAGATGTCCGTGGAAACAATGCAGGCAGTTCTAGGGCCAAAGATCGATGGCACACGCAACCTCGACGAGATCTTCTACAACGAGGCCCTTGATTTCTTTATCCTGTTTTCGTCGTCAGCATGTGGTCAATCTAACTATGCAGCAGCGAACGGGTATCTGAATGGTATTGCCAAACAGCGACGTAAGCGTGGCTTGGCTGCCTCAGCTATGGACATTGGCCGTGTGGCTGGTATTGGATACGTCGAGACGGCCGGCCAGGCTGTCATGCAGCAGCTGACGAGGTTTGGTCTCATGGCTATCAATGAGCCTGAGCTGCGCCAGATGTTTGCTGAAACCGTTCTGGCTGGATATCCCAAGCCTGAGGACAAAGCAGGTATCCCTGATGCTGTGGTGACCACTGGTATTCGGACTATCCGCGACGACGAGGATATCCAAGGCCCGTGGTTTGACAATCCTCTCTTCTCTCATTGTATCATTGAGAGCAAGGGCGTCCAGTCAGCCACTGCGGATCAGGACAAGAAAGCCTCGCTCCCCGTGGCGGAGCAAATAAAGAGGGCATCGACAATGGAAGAAGCCCTTGACATTGTGAAAAGTGAGGCATCCCAGCTCTTTCCGGAAGAGTCTAAGCTAATATCTCACAGATTGTTTCGCCGCGAAGCTGCGTATTATGCTTCAGATTTCGGATCAATCAATTGACCATGATATTCCCCTCGTGGAGCTTGGGCTTGATTCTTTAGTCGCTGTCGAGGTGCGATCCTGGTTCCTGAAGGAGTTGAAGGCCGACATACCAGTGTTGAAGGTGGTCAATGGAGCATCTTTGGCCGAGCTATGCGAGCAAGCTCTTAAGAAGTTGCCTGAGGACATGCTTCTAGGCACTAGAGACGCAAAAGAGACGTCTGAATCAGCTGCACCGTCTCCAGCGACATCAACCGAGCCTCGAGCGGCAGATTCTAGTACTGCCTCGAATTCCAACTCGACTCCTGCCAGCGTTTCCGGGGACGGTGATAAGACCACACCACCTTCTTCAACCCAGCTATCCTCGAGGTCAACCTCGTCCGAGAATCTCAGTGAATTGACAAAACCAAAGACTGTGGTCAAACCGTCGAGAACACTCCTCAAAAGTGAGCCAATCTCATTCGGACAATCTCGGTTCTGGTTCCTCAGGCTCCTCCTCGACGATCAGACGACGTCGAATGTGACCTTTTACTATCACATTACTGGGGATCTGCGTATCAGGGACATGGAGAGAGCAATTCGCGTTGTCACTGCTAGACACGAAGCGCTGCGTACCTGCTTCGTCGCGGACGAGACACAGGCTGACCGGGCTTACCAGAACGTCATGAGCAGCTCTCCATTGCAACTGGAGCGAAAGGATATTCACTCCGTCGAGGATGTGGCCACCGAATACTCTAAGCTGATGCAACACTCGTTTGATCTGGAGAGCGGCGATTTGATTCGACTCGTGATTCTTTCTCTATCGCCGACATCTCATTATCTGCTTGTGAACTATCACCACATTCTAATGGATGGTGTTAGTTTCCAGGTATTTCTCTCTGATCTAGAGAAGGCATATAATGGCGAGTCACTGGGGGCACCTCCGCAACAATTCCCTGCTTTCTCGGCGGCTCAGCGCAAGGCTTTTGAGACCGGAGAGATGAACGAAGAGTTGAGATACTGGCAAGGGGTGTTTCCAGCTGGCGAGCAGCCGCCCGTTCTGCCACTCTTGCCTATGGCTCGAACCAGCTCGAGAGTGGCCATGAAGGATTTCGACGTCCACCAGGTGAGATACCGATTGGAACCTGCCCTGGCGGCACGCGTCAAGTCGGTGTCGAAAACGCAACGGTCCACGCCCTTCCATTTCTACTTGGCCGCATTCAAAGCCATGCTATTCAGTTTCACCGACGCGAAGGACTTGACAATTGGCATCGCCGATGCCAACCGTACGACCGATGATCTGATGGGCAGTATTGGTTTCTTCTTGAACCTGCTTGCCCTCCGATTCCGCCGCCAACCGGACCAGAGCTTCAAGGATGCCATTGCTGAGGCTCGCAGTACGACCTATGCGGCACTTGCCCACTCTCGGCTCCCTTTTGATGTATTGCTGAACGAGTTCAACGTGGCCCGCTCTTCGACTTATAGTCCCTTCTTCCAGGCATTTTTCGACTACCGCCAAGGTGCTCAGGAGAAGCATGGTTGGAGCAACACGCAATTCGAATTCAAGGAGATTCATCCGGGAAGAACTTCCTACGACATCACACTGGACATCACAGACAATGCCACAGATGCCCTCATTATGTTGCGGGTCCAGAAGAGTCTCTATGATATCACGGCAGCAAATCTTCTACTAGAGACATACGTTCACTTCTTGGATACCCTCTCAACCGACGTGTTGGTTCGTCTTCAGGATACGCCGCTCTTTGGTAAGAAACAGCTGGCCAAATCTATCACGATAGGTCGCGGTGAGTATGTATCCCTTTGACATTGATCCTATCTAATGATGTCAGGCCCGGATTTGGTCTCTGACTGGCCATCGACCCTTCCCCATCGCATTGACCAAGTGGCCCAGAGTAATCCGGACAAAATAGCTCTGGTGGATGGCATAGGTAAAGACTTGACATACTCCGACATGATCAATCGAATCGAGGCTATTGCCGAGGCACTCCAGGGCGCCGGGGTAGGTCCTGGCTCGCGTGTGTTGGTGTTCCAGACAGCGGCTTCGGACTGGGTTTGCTCTATGCTTGCCATCATGCGCCTTGGATCCATCTATGTGCCACTCGACCTCCGGAATCCTGTCGTCCGTTTAGCATCAGTTGCAGTCGATTGTGCGCCACACGCAATCCTCGCCGACCATACCACTCTTGAAGACGCACCGCACTTGAACGTGCCTTCTGCCGCCATAATCGACGTGTCCAGCCTTGGACCCAAGCCGTCGACTCATGTTCCCAACTGTGCACAGGCGGACTCGCCTGCAGCAATCTTGTACACCAGTGGCTCAACGGGAGTCCCCAAGGGAATTGTTGTCACGCATTCCGGTCTCCGCAATGAAATTGAAGGATACACGAAGATGTGGGAGCTCGGCGCGGAACGAACGCTGCAACAGAGTGCCTTTACCTTCAACCATTCTTCCGATCAGATCTACACTGGTTTGGTGAATGGCGGTACAGTGTATATTGTGCCATGGAGCAAGCGTGGCGACCCGATCGAGATCACCAGGATTATGAAAGAAAACGCAATCACCTACACCAAAGCGACTCCGTCTGAATACTCGCTGTGGATGCAGTTCGGAGGCGAGAATCTTGGTCAGTGTACAAAATGGCGCCGCGCTTTTGGTGGCGGGGAGCCCTTGACCAGCATTATCACGCAGCAATTCGCCAAACTTGAGCTTCCGCAGCTTCGGGTTTACAACTCGTATGGGCCAACGGAGATTTCCATCTCATCGACCAAGATGGAGATCGACTATCGGAACAAAGAAAAAATGGAAGATGGTCGCATTCCGTGTGGGTACTCGCTGCCCAACTATCAGGTGTACGTGGTGGATGAGCAGCTGAGGCCACTCCCGGCCGGTATGCCCGGCGAGCTCTGCATTGGCGGTGCTGGTGTTGCAGTTGGGTATCTCGACAAGGAACTGACGGGTCAGCACTTTCTTGCCAACCCATTCGCAAGTTCGTGGGATATCAGCCATGGATGGACACGGATGTACCGAACGGGTGATGTCGGACATCTGCAGGATGATGGTGCCATGGTGTTTCATAATCGCATGGCAGGTGACACCCAAGTCAAGATCCGGGGAATCCGGATCGAGCTGAGCGATATCGAGAGCAATATCATTTCGACCGCGGGGGGTGTTTTGAAAGAGGCCGTCGTGACCCTCCGGGAGGGCGACCCTGATTTCCTTGTCGCGCATGTTGTATTCGAACGGGGACAGGAGGTCACGGATCAGGAAACTTTCCTCCAGCAGTTGCTGAGCCGGCTCCCAATCCCGCAATACATGATTCCGGTCATTGCTATCCCACTGGAGACCCTTCCCTTGACCAACCACTCCAAGGTTGATCGGAAAGCGTTGAAGAGCCTGCCACTACCTCAGCGAACCTGGGGGACGCAGAGCAACGAAGAGCTGACCGGAACCATGACGCAGTTGAAACAGATCTGGCAGGATGTCCTTGGAAACTCGGGAGTCGGCTTTGAGATCAGCCCATCCACCAGCTTCTTCTCCGTGGGCGGCAACTCCCTTCTGGTTATCCGTCTCCAACAATACATTCGCCAGGAGTTCAGTGTCGAGATCCGCCTCGTCGAGCTACTCGGCGCCAACACGCTGGGTGAGATGGCGCGCAAGATTGACGAAAGTATCCAAATCGAGGCTATCGACTGGGAGGAGGAAACGAGACCTCCTGCCATTCCCGATTTCCTGAAGGACGTCGCTGGAGTCTGCGCCGGCCAGCAACAGCCCAAGACCTTGTTGGTCACTGGAGCAACGGGCTACATTGCCAAGTATCTTCTCCCCAAGCTCGCTGCCAGTCAGCACGTTCAGATGATATATTGCGTCGCCGTGAGAGACAAGCAATCTCGGCTTCCTCGGTCATCCAAGATCGTATGTTACGAGGGTGACCTGACTGCGTCTCAGCTCGGACTGCCCGACAACGAGTTCCGCTCCCTATCCAGCAAAGTCGATATCGTCCTCCACCTGGGCGCCGTCCGCTCCTTCTGGGACAACTACCATGTTCTCCGCCCCAGCAATGTCCATCCCACCAGGGAGTTGGTCAAGTTTGCTACTGCCCGCCGTATACCGATTCACTATATCTCCACAGCGTCAGTCCTCTCCCAAGCCGCAGGCGTCGATGCCGTTTCCGCTGCATCCTGCGTCCCCGCGGTCGACGGCACGAACGGGTACGTCGCCTCGCGCTGGGCCAGCGAGCGGATCCTCGAACGCGCAGCAGAAAGCCTAGGCGTTCCAGCATCCATCTACCGCTTCCTTCCATCTGCACAACAGTCACCGCAGGAGGCGGAGGCGGAGGTGCTGGATGAATTCGCCCGCTATGTCGACGTCTCAGGCGTCATGCCTGACATGACCGGCTGGGAGGGACGCATCGACATGGCCCCTGCCGAGCAGGTCGCTACCTGGCTCTCCGAGTCAGTCCTTGCGGATGTTACTAGCGTCCGATTCTCGCATTATGAAAGCCAGGTCTCGGTCGATGTGGGCGTGCTGCGGGAGTATCTCGAAGAGAAGAAAGGTGGGCTGGGTCTGGAGAGGATGGCTGGGCTGAAATGGATTGGGCGCATCAAGGCGCTTGGGTTTGGCTACTTTTTGACGGCGCAGGATGTCACGGTTGGTAGGGAAGGGCAGAAATATGAATCGCGGAGGTAGTCAGTCAGTCACAGTCTCCCGTTTGTCCTAGACAGCAAGGTTCCACGATTTTGTCTATAGAGTGAAACAATTCAATTGATGCGTTTCTGTCAAGGTTTTACATGCCAGTATACGCTGAAGTGTGACTAATGCTCCTAACAAAATACACATCCCATCAATACTAAATCAAATCCTAGCTCCCATGTTCCGAGACCCGGAATCTACACATCTCCCGTATACAGAAGTAATACTGCGCCTCACCTCCCGCCCCATATCCAAATCCAACACCTTCCCTTCAACATCCACTACACTAACCCCCGGATTCCCAACAACCGCCAGAGGCAAAAGTACCAGCTCGCGATCAGGCTGTTTGCCCAGCGTCGATTCCCCCGGGAGTAAAACGATGATGTATGCATCTCGATGGGGGCTTTCACTTTCAGGCAGGCCAGTTACCAGTAGCAGTAGTCTGGTACACGTCAGATTGCCACTCATCCACAAAGAGGGAAAACTACCACTACCGCTTGGTAAACAGCAACCAGCTCGCTCACCAGCGGCGCACAGACGGGGGGTACATCGAAGAGGACCGCGGAGAGGAGAGTCTGGCGGATGCCTAGCATGCTTGAGACGGCGGGTTCCATTTGGCGCCTGGTAAGTAGAATGTCATATATCAAAATCAAACTACTCAGCTAAAAAGGTGTTTAGACGAGCATCACTAGCTAGTAGGAGATGATAATGATAGCAGTGACTTACACCCGAAAGACTTGGCAGCCGCCAGGCAAGCAGCCGGATGAGAGCTTGTGATACCGTATATATCATCAGAATCCATTTTGAGTGTTCTCAAAAGGCCAATTGCAAGTCCCTGGTCACGGTGATGCTGCTCTACCACTAATTGGGTAATCCAGCAAATGGTTCCGATGTATCTAACAAAGTGATACTACTTAGTATCAATAAATACATCCGATTTGGCCCTTGCACTCGAGTCTCTATTTGACCATACAGGTTGGTCAAGAAAGTATAAGTCATCGCGAGAGTCCGGCAGATGAACCTGCAAATCGACTCTAATCGAGTGAGGGCCCTCTGGCTCCAGGGATATGAAGAATGGAAGATGGAGAGCAGAGAATCATAGGGGAGATGATGGTAATTATCTCTATCTATCTTAGTTTGATCTGCTGTTGAATGACTGGTTCAAGATCTTTACAGTGAATGAAGATTGTTGAAATTTAATATCCCCAGGTGCTACATGTCATTAACCACAATGAGCATTGCTGATGATAGTGAATGTCATACTTAGTTAGTGAATATAGTTCATTAGATCTGAGACATAAGGGGAGACACAAGGCAAGACATACTGACGAGCAAGCCATGAGTCAGTTGTCTAGACTAAATAACTAAGGAAGTAGCTAGATACCTAAGGTGTGTTCAATCTTACCTATCCCAAGTCAGAAATGGGACCAACTGCTACGTCACCTATGGATGATACTAGGGCAGAATTGGATGATGCAACAATATTGGCCGAGGTTCTGCCCTGCAGAAGGCGTTTCCGGCGAGATTCCCATCAACAGTCACCCTAGTGTAGAAACTTGCAACATCGTCGGTGGTCGGGAGTAGGTATTGGTCACGCAATCGTCGTACGCTCATCTTGACCGGATTTCCTGCCAAAGACGTTAGAGATGTGTCGTGTAAGAGATTGTATAGCATGCTCACCAGCTCTGTCTGGCGGCTCTGCCCAGACCCAGCTCCACTGATTTGATCAACATGTCGTCCGTAACCAGGTCCGCTGGGAAGGTCTCGTACACTTGTGCTGCCATGACTAATGGTTTTCGTGCTTTGGTGCTCTCAATGACTGAAACTGTAGGGACTGGGTTAAACGAGACTCTTCGGATTCCATCATGGGAAGCCGCTGATGATGATGGATTGTAAAACCCCTAGGTGGAGGGTTACTGATATTACGTAGGGATGTTGTGTTGACACCCAGACATAAAACATGGACTTATCTCCACGTGATCTCATTTGCTTTGTTTATTCTAATTCTTAGGCCCGCGGTTGCAATCGAGCTCTCACCAAGTATCGTGCACCATTGTCATGTAACTCAGCCTCACTGATTATGCCTTGACTATAGTGTAAAGTCGATCATTCAATCAATCGCAGAATGGCGCGTCCAAAGTCTATCCGTGCGCCTACAGCCGCCAGTCTACCCAACACTCTCCGCATCCCCTCCTCGACCCCGTCTCTCATAAAGTCATTCTCACGGCTATCCCGCCAGGCTCTTCTGGACCTGGTGTTTCAATGGCTCGATGATCGCAACGCGCAATTGTTTCCACCATATCTTGGGCAAGACGAAGCCGAGAACCCCGACGACGATGAACTCAGCCCGTACCCGGCCGCCGAATCGATCGAGGACGTGCGAAATGCTTACCAGGATTTACAAGATAGGAAGGGCGGCAAACGCGAGGTGATTGATCGTATTCTGGAGGGCGACTGGCGACACGGTATCACTTTACGCCAGCTGGCAATGGTGGACATTCGGTATATGGAAGACCACCCAGCAAGTCTGCGATGGACAGCATTTGAACTCAGTCGCATTGGCATGGATGGACCACGATCCGCAGGAGCAACGGCGCCTGACGTTTCGGCATGTCTACCGCGCATCCACGCCGCTACTTTCCTGAGTAACCTTCAGCAGCAGATTTCTCCCCTGGTGAAAGCGCATTACCATCTCGTCCGCTCGTCCTCGCTTCCGCTCTCATTCCTGCGCATCTTAGTGACTAATTCTCCATACCAAACTCCTCGCCAGCCACCTGAGGCTCTGACAGACTCATCGCGAGTGATGTACGTGGCTTTCCCCGACAGTTGCCCATTCATCTACACGTCCATAGCGACGTCGCCCGTCGCGAAATCTAATACATCCACCAATCATGCCGTCGCAACCGATGCTCGGAGTCTGCAGCGCATTGTACGAGACGCTTTACCCAAAGCATTATCGCGGCCACAAGTGCGATATGCTTTGAGAGCGACCTCTCTGACCGCGAAGAATCTGCAAGCTTTGCTGGCGCTCCGCGGTCCTGAAAGATCCAACGCGGCCAATGGGGCGTTTAGTATATTCGCCGACGCGGTACTCGAAGGGAGTCCCTTGGACCCACGTCCATCGGATACGATTTCTCCCGAAGAGCACTTCCACCAAGAGTCAGACCCAGGCAAGGAGAACGAAATCCAAGAGGATAGCAACACGAGCAGGGAGACGGAGCCTACTTCCCATATCGCCAAGAAGCGAAAATTAGCCGTTCACTCTCGTTTTGGCACCTCGGGAACGCTCTCGTCTGCCCCTCTGGACCGCCTTGACGTGCGCCTGCTTGATCCGGCGAACGACGAGGATGATGAACATGATGCGGACCGCACGCAGCCAACAGTATCACTCACCTTTGCCGGCTCGGACGTCATCAGCGGTATCCGCAAGCTTGCCGAACTGGGTGTTGTCGAGCCGGAGCGTATGCCATCCTGGATGACGGGCGAAGAAGCAGTCAGCGTAGCTGTTGTTCACCGAGGAAAGCGTATAATCAAAGATGGTTGACGACAAGAACCAGTCTCAAGAAACTTCTGATCGACCAACCAGCACAACATTCCGAGGGAGAATCACGCTGGAACACCCTCCCCCGATGCGACTGCCGCGGAGCAGTAGGGCGGCCCGCGAAATACAGCCGTACAGAACCCAGACTTCGTGTACGTCCATGACACTGAACATTGGACATGTGGAGTCGTCAAGATCGATAGCGCAGGCACAGACGATTACCTGTCAAGCCTCTTGATGTGCTGCGACTAGGCGAGCTGGATTCCGAGTTTGATCCGAGCCTCATAAAGTCAATAGACGGATATACTGCGCATCTACGAGTTACACGGCTACACAGCGGTGCCTCGGACGGCAAGCGAAGTATCATTGGAATACATCAAGCAACACAAATACAGATAGGGGTATATAGCAATCTAGACCAATCCAAAACCGAGTGACCAAGGCCCTTGCACATGTAGCACGCAAACTCGTCACCAGCGCGAACGCCATGGCCTACGCGACCCATAATAGGACGATCCCGGGGAACCCCAGGGCCGATAATATGTTGAAGAGTCTATCACCAAGCGTTATGATTAGCAACCTTTCCAAGAGAAAAAGAACCAGACGAAGGGGACAAGTACAGGGACGGTCTCGTACCGCGTTCGCCAGACATGCCGAGAAGATGCCCCACATTGACATAACCTTCTTCGTTGATGTATCCATCCTTGGTGAGCTGTTTTAGATCCAGTTCGCTACTACCGGTCTCCCATGCAGAACGGCTAGACGAGAGTCAGTATATCTCCACAGTCTTTGTCTCAGGTAGTAGGAACCCACCAGTAAACGCAACGAACCCCCTGCGCGTTCCGCGTTGCAGCCCATTGCTGGAAACACGCCTTGTGGATGTTATTCCCGCATGCTGCGCGGCACCAGACGATCTCGTCTTTCTCTGGCTCGAGTTCCATGAAGCAGATGGGACAGTCTCCTTCGATGGGCTTGCGCTTGCCGTTGTTGTCCTCCGATTGTTCTTTTTGGCTGCTGAGGGGTGATGACTGGTACATTTCACGGAGTTCCTGCATGCGATCCGGTAAGTAAACTTATACAATTGCGTCCTTTGCGTCCTTTGCGGGAACTCTTACCGAGGATAAGAATGCCAGCTGGTACTGTAGATGTTCCGGGGCTTTCAGAGCGTTTATTAGGACTTGATAGGCCATAGTAGTTAGCGACTGTAAGGATAGAATAAAGATATAACACCAGTGACGAGCGACCACAATCTTCAAAGAAAGGCGTAGGCATACCGTAGAATATGTGCTTGCACTGATTTCCTTTACCTCCATCCGGACAGTCGCAGGTAGGCACCTTCCCAATGACAATCTTGTACAGATTTCCAGTCGTTCCCGCCATTTTAAACACGACTTCGGGCGCATCATCGACCTCGGTGACACAATGTTCCACGACGCACATCCTGCTCAATGCCCGGGTTAGTGAAAGTCGCACGAAAGCAGTACGGCCAAGTCCTACCTCTGGGTTCGTGCCCGCATCATCCTTTCCATTATACACTTGGGCGGCTGCTTACGAAACGGTCTAGCGCGTCGCTCGGGGGTCGGCTGGCCAGAAAGGCGCTTCTTGGGGCTTCGAGTCTTCTTCGTCGGGGTCGTCACGGGTGAGTCTGCTGTCAAGTCGATCACCTCGGAGAAGCCAGCTGAGGCGGCAGAGTTGGTATTCACTCGTCTGCGCGCATTTTTCACCGGAGTTGTCGATACTTTGATCTCATCATCGGCGTCCCGCTTTCTCTTGGTCGTTAACCGTGTATTGCTGGGTGTGCTCGCGCCGTACGCTCGACGTTGCGCCGGCGAGGAGCTAGTGATTGTTTGAGGAGATGTTGTTGTTCGTGTACTTCCCATATTGACTAGCAGCACAAGCCACGTATACAACGACTCGAATGACGAGAGAATGGGGTAGACGTCGGTAGACCGATCTGAGCTACGGTGGCGTTGAAGTTGATAGATTTGTTTTGAGCAGACGCGACCTGGGACGCTGACATAATCACATTCAATCAATCGGCGAAATGGACGTAAACCTGATACTGAGTTGATTCTTTTGATATTGCACCTTGAATCTTTGAATATTCTCTCCTTTGTGCCTATCTAGAATACTTCAACAGCCAGTCGATGACACAAAACGGCGTAGGAATAGCATCATCATATGTGGAGGTTTGCTGGGTTTGTGTACTTTGTCCTGTTTGCTGGCAGCGATAAGTTATCAAGATAGTGATAACAAGGAGACACAGCATTCATGCCAAATATTTCGAGATTGACGGTATTCCCCTTCTTCTTTTTCACCTTTCTTCCTTCAATGAGAGATGCGATATATTGATAGATTCTAACTACAGCATTTCGAGTCGTCGGTCGCCTGAAATATGACCTGCTTATGCTCATCTGTTATATTTTGACTGTTGTAAGAGGTAATCTGTAGATAAGAGACTGCTATACCTTTTTTGGAAGGATTATGTAACCCCACATGACTACATCCTAGGCCAAACTGATGATTGTTGTTGCTGATTTTCAACGATTCCTCATGGTATGATAGACTGAAGGGACAATTCCTTCAGGGTAGACTTATGGCTCGTCCGCGAGGCTACTCGGGCGCTGATAGTTCCAAAGAACCCCATGCGGTCTCCCTAAAAGGTATGCACTATTGAGATCTCAACTGAAGCTACCTCTCGCTGATCCAGCCACAGTATTGCGGTAAGCCGAGCTCAAAGAAGCGTTTGGCCATGATACTAACCGAGTAAGGCTGTCGCGGCCTTCACTATCTAATCAATATCCCCTTCCGGCTGCCAACACCAAGATCTCAAGCAAAGCATCCCTAAGCTATCCATCCGACAGTACCGATGACAAGTTCATCCTTAGTCCTAACGTAAGCTCTCATCTCCATCCACCAAAGCACAAGCTAACAAACCCGCAGCTGACTTTGCCGCCCTCCTTTGGGTCGGCATACGTCGGGGAAACGTTCGCCTGCACGCTCAGCGCCAACAATGAGCTGCCGGAGGACGAGACCTCGCGCGTCGTCACGTCCGTCCGCATCGTCGCGGAAATGCAGACTCCATCCCAGGTAGCCTCACTGGACCTGGAACCAGCGAACGATCCGGCCCAAACGGAAGGCCTGCAAAGGGGGCAGTCCCTGCAGAAAATCGTGCGTTTCGACCTCAAAGAAGAAGGAAACCACATCCTAGCCGTCAGCATCAGCTACACCGAGACGCTGATCGGGTCGGATGCGCAGGCTGCCAGCGGCCGGGTCAGGACATTCCGCAAACTGTACCAATTTGTCGCTCAGCCGTGCCTCAGCGTCAGGACGAAATCCTCGGAGCTGGCTCCGTTGGAGGTGGAGAATAAGTCGTTGGGACCGTACGGGAAAACCCGGCTTCTGCGATTCGCTCTGGAAGCACAGTTGGAGAATGTGGGGGATGGCACCGTGGTGGTCAAGGTTTGTGGGAGAGGTGATTTTGCTGGATTATATCATTTCTGACTGCAAGACAGCAAACGAGACTCAATCCCAAACCGCCCTTCAAAGCCGTTTCCTTGAACTTCGACCTGGACAGGCCGGACAAGGCCGACTCGCAGCCGCCCACGCTGAACCCACGGGATGTACTGCAGGTTGCATTCCTAGTTGAGCAGGAAGAAGGCCAGCAAGAGGGACTCGAAGCTTTGCAAAAGGACCTGAGACGAGATGGCAGGGCCGTCCTGGGGCAACTTTCCATTGAATGGAGGGGTGCTATGGGTGACAAGGGGTTCTTGACTACCGGAAATCTGTTGACAAGGAGGCGATCCTGAGGTATCTTAGTGCTTATACATCCGAATCACCTTGCAATAATGAAGTCTCAAGGAGCTCCATGAGTTCTGGCTTTTTCATATATCAATAGACTACAGAGTGTATTATTCTAAAAGATCCTCCGCCGTTTCTTTGATCAACAGATGCATAGAGATTCTTATAACGGCTGCTGCATGGCTCCATTCCCCTATAGATCCACAAGAAAACATAAGTCGCCATGATGTACCACCCGCCATGAGATGTCAATAGTCTAACAGCTACTGCCTTACTGCCTTGACTTCTTGAGCGCTGCAGAAGGATGATACTCATTCTCACTTGCGGTGAGATCCTTTACATTACTCGAGGTAGGTATAGAGATAGGAGAGTGTAGAAGTAGTGGATAGAAAGTGTAGAATAAGCAGAGAGAGGTTCAGAATATAAAGATATTTCATTAATTCATTATGTATGTAAATCTATATTTACTATTATATAGTGGAAGGAGCTATCTACTAAGTAAGATTACATGATCAGATCTCTACCATACCAAGTATGGCTATATACCCCTAGATTTAATCAACAAGGTTGTAGCCACTTCCTAATTAGGCAGTTAATCTATAATTATAGTATTAAAATCTACTATTTATAGCACTCTACTAGGCTAAGCCCAGCACCTTAAAGAATTAATTAAACTTTAGATAACTAAGCAGCTTTATTATAAGATCTATAATTATCTTATCTATTAAAAGATGCTATAGGAAGACCTACTTCTTAACTATTATATCTCTAATCTAATAATAATTAATATTAATATACTTACTACACGCATAGAATTAAGTATTATAGGCTAGGTCTATAGCAGGCTAGCTATTAGTATTAATCTATATAGGGCATATACTATTAAAGCTAATATCTTTAAGGAGATAGATAAGCTAGATAGCTTTCTTTATAATATAAATAATAATAATATATTTAGTCTTATACATAGATAAAGAGATAACTAATTATAGCTTAGAAGTCTATAAGATAGGCCTATTACTAAATATAAAGATATATCTAATAGTTAAATAGTATATATTAATACATCCTATATAATCTATATTAATATAGCTAATAATAATGCCTAGCTTATATATGATATCTTTTATATTATAAGGCTTATAGATAATTCTAATATCTAGGGTCTAATAGAAGAATTAAATAAGATAAATAAGATGCTTAAAATATAATTTATTAGAATTTATAGTATATCTAGCTAGCTTCCTAATAGTAAAGGCAGTATCTAGCCTAGTCTATAGTATTAGATATATAACTAAGCTAACTCCCACTCTATATCTCTCTTTAAGTTTAAGATTATATCTAATAGACTTATCTAATTTAACTAGCTAAGCACCTTCTTCCATAGGTATTACTATAGTTTTAACTAAATATAGATTAAATATATTAATAAGATATTAAAGATAAGTATATTAAGATAGCTTAACCTATCTTTTCTTAATATCTAGGTCTATCTTTATACCTAGATAATAGGTAGCTAGGCTAATAAGTAAAATATTAAATAGCTTACTAATAGCCTTATACACCCCCTTAGTAATCTGCTTAGAGGGTCTAGTAATCTCTATATTATTAATATATAAGATAAGGAGCATACTATAGATGTTAAAGAAGAGATATTTATTAATCTTAGATAGTTATAATCTAATCTTAGTAACTTTACTATAGAAGATAAGATACTAGGTATATATAGACTACTTTAATCTATATAAAGGAAGTAATAGTCTATATATATAGCTAGATTTATTATTAAAACCTAGCAGCTACTTTATATAGATAACTTTACTATTAAAAAATTTACCCTATAGGAAAGTAAGCTTGATATCTACCTTAATATAATAATAGTCTAAGATAGCTATAAGTATAAAGAATAAGCAGATAGTAGCTAGCTTTATAATAGGGGAAAATATCTAGTTAAAGTCTACTCTAGGTATTTAGGTATAGCCTTTAGTAACCTATCTTACCTTAAATTAGATAATCTTATTATTAGTACTAATCTTAATCTTATAGACCTAATACCCCTTAATAGCCTTATAGCTAGTAGGTAGGGCCTTAAGCACCTAGGTACCTTACTTAATAAGATTATCTACTTTTACTTTTATAGTATTTTATTAATTATCTACTTTAGGAGAGTTAATTACCTTATAGAAGGAAGAAGGCTTAATAATATTAGTATAATTATTACTAATATATATATACCTAATAATAATATAATTCTATATATATCTTTCTATAGCCTTAGCATTAATATAATGCACCCCCTATTCCATAAGCTAAATTACTTCTAGCTAGAAATATTCTAGAAGGTCTTCTACTAGCTTACTAAAAAGGCCTCTATGCAGGAAGTTAATATCCTTAGTAATACTAGGACCTACCTCTATATATATTTATAGTATAGGGATGCTATCCTCTAGTCTAGATAGATTAGGTATAATTAGATCCTAGCCTTTAATAATATCTTAATCTAAATTATTATCACTAATAACCTTATTTAGATTATAGTTAGTAGGTGGAATAGCTAGTAGATTAATAAATTTACTATAATTATTATCTAGATTACTATAGAGATCTGGATTGCTTTCTTCTTTAAAAATAATATTATAGATATATTTAACTTTATTAGTTACTAGTATCTAAATAACATATTACTTGCCTAAGCTAGTGTAGCTAACTAAATAGTAGTAAATAGTATATAAATTAATCTTTATAACACCCTGCTTGAATTTAATTTCATTAGTAATAGTAAGATATCTAACCAAACCTAAGATCTATAGAGAGCTGATATTAGGACATTTACTAAAGTATATTTTATATAGAGTTATATTCTTACCTTAAATAGGTAAGATATTCTTAATTAGAATAACTCTCTTTATAATTTCACCCTAGAGTTTGCGCGGAATAATTTTATTATTAATAATAGTATAAACTTTTATTAATATTATATACATAAGATGTTCTACAACAGGGTTCTAACTATAAGTATATAATACTATAAGTTTTTATTTAATAGATTTAGCTCTAGCCTATACTTAATTCTCTTTCTTAATAAATTCTCCTCTATTATTAGTATAGTGTAGCAGAGAAAGATAGCATTAGTTTTAGCTAATTACTCATGCCTATCTCAGGGTGTAACCCTTGAGGTAGATAACTAGGATAATAATAATATTATTACTAAAGGTGAAGGGATCTTCTTCTTATTATATTATTTTTTAGTAAGGATTATAATTACTAATTAAGGAATAAATAAATTACTTTTTATTATAATATCTCTTCTATCTAGTTAAACTTATATCTAACCTAGATATAATCTAGCTTATAACTCCTAATTATAATAAAGCTTAACCTACTCTTTAGAGTGCTATATAATATCCCTTATATATTTAGTAACCTATATAGGGTTATCTTATAGTAGTAGCAGGGAGCTATCTAAAAAAAGRTTATAAGCTAAGTATTATAAAATATAAGAAGTTTATTTAACCCTAAGAGTTAGCTAACTAGATTAGGAGAGGAGGAAGTAGGAGTATCTAGATAGAAAGAGTAGAATAATATTAAAGTTTAAAAGTATATTAAAATAAATAAGTAAATATATAATTAGTCTAAGGAGGAGAGATAAGGGAGTAGACCTAGCCTTATACTATAGAATAAGAGTATTAGAGGAGAGAGTAATAATAATAAGAATATTAATAAAGAATAGAGAAATTTAGTACTAAGAGATTATTAAGAAAGATAAATATAGAAATAATCTAATAAGAAAAAGAGAAGAGTAAGAAAGAGTAATATTACTTTTAGTAGCTCTTTATAACTAACTTTAGGAATATTATAAAAGTTATTAAATTTCTTTAAAAAAATAATAGTTTCTATTACTAATATTTTAAACCCCTATTATAATATCTATTAATATAAAGAAGATATCTAAAGATCTTACCCTATCTAGAGAGAGCTTTATAACTTCTAGCTCTAGGATCTCTATAGATAATCTTAGATAAGATTAGTCTTCTAGAGATATAGTTAATCTAGAAAATAATAAAGTAGCTTATTAGAAGCATCTTTTATAAGTTAATATACCTACTCTTAGGATAGCTAGGGCCCTATAATTTAGTAGTAATAATATAATAGATTTCTTAAGAGTTATAGATAACCTCTTTTAAAGATATTTTATCTCTAAAGATAAAGAGAAACTATTATATATACTAGATTACTATAGTAATACTATTTCTATATAGGTAATAAGCCTTCCTAAATATAACTAAGATAATTATAGTACTATAAAGTAGTTACTAAGAGAAGAATATATAAGATTAAATAAAGTTTAAAAGATTTTTAATATTTAGTAGCTTAAGAACTTTATAAGTATAAAAAAAAAGGAAACTAATATAGATAGTTTTATTTATTAATTTTATCTAGTATTAAAAAGACTAGAGAAGAAAGGATATCTTAATATCTATAGCTATATACTAATATTTATTTATAGTCTTCTTACTTCTATATAAGAGGAGCTGTTTTAGAAGGAGGGATTTAATACTAAAAAGCTAAATTCTATAATCTATTCTAAAGTAAAAGAGGTAGTTAAGAAATTATTTTAGATAAATATAGTATTATAAAGAGTAGCTAATCTTAGGATTATAGAAAATAGTTAGACTTTATTATATAAGTTTAAGRAAGTAGACTCTAAGGAGAGTTTAATCTTAATAAA